AGTTTCGCTCTTGTTACCCAGGCTGGAGTGCAATGGCATGATCTCGGCTCACCGCAACCTCCGCCTCCTGGGTTCAGGCAATTCTCCTGCTTCATCCTCCTGAGTAGCTGGGATTACAGGCACGAGCCACCATGCCCAGCTAATGTTTTGTATTTTTAGTAGAGACGGGGTTTCACCATGTTGACCAGGATGGTCTCGATCTCTCGACCTCGTGATCCACCCGCCTCGGCCTCCCAAAGTGCTGGGATTACAGGCTTGAGCCACCACGCCCAGTGGACCTGATGGTTTTATAAGGGGTTTCCTCTTTGGCTTGGCTCTCATTTGCTCTTACCTGCCACCATGTAAGACGTGCTTTTCACCTTCTGCCATGAATGTGAAGCCTCCCAGTCACATGGAACTGTGAATCCATTAAACCTCTTTGTCTTCATCAGTCATCCAGTCTCAAGTATGTCTTTATTAGCAACGTGAAAACAGACTAATGCAGTAAATTGGTACCAGTAGAATGCAGCACTGCTCAAAAGATACCCCAAAATGTGGAATTGACTTTGGAACTGGGCAACAGGCAGAGGTTGGAACAGTTTGGAGGCCTCAGAAGACAGGAAAATGTGGGAAAGTTTATAACTTCCTGGAGATTTGCTGAATGGCTTTGACCAAATGGTGATAAGGATATGAACAAAGAAATCCAGGCTGATGTGGTCTCAGATGGAGATGAGGAAGTTGTTGGGAACTGGAGTAAAGGTGATGCTTGCCATGTTTTATCAAAAAGACTGGTGGCATTTTGCCCTTGCCCTAGAGATTTGTGGAACTTTGAATTTGAGGGAGATGATGACTTAGGGTATCTGGTGGAACAAATTTCTAAGTGGCAAAGCGTTCAAGAGGTGACTTGGGTGCTGTTAAAAGCCTTCAGTTTTAAAAGGGAAACAGCATATGAGTTCAGAAAATTTGCAGCCTGACATGTAATGGAAAAGAAAAATGCATTTTCTGAGGAGAAATTCAAGAAATCTGTGTAAGTAACTAGGAGTCAAATGTTAATCACCAAGACAATGAGGAAAATGTCTCCAGGACATGCCAAAGACCTTTATGGCAGCTCCTCCCATCACAGGCCCAGAGGCCTAGGAGGAAAAAAATGGTTTCATGGGCTCCCCCTGCTGTGTGCAGCCTAGACACTTGGTGTCGTGCATCTCAGATGCTCCATCCACGGCTAAAAGGAGCCACAGTACAGCTCAGGCTGTGGCTTCAGAGGGTGCAAGCCCCAACCCTTGGCAGTTCCCACGTGGTGTTGAGCCTGTGGGTACACAGAACTCAAGAATTGAGGTTTGGGAACCTCCACCTAGATTTCCGAAGATATGTGCAAATGCCTGGATGGCCAGGCAAAGGTTTGCTGTGGGGGCAGCGTCCTTATGGAGAGCCTCTGCTAGGGCAGTGCTGAAGGGAAATGCAGGTTTGAAGACCCCACACTGAGTCCACGCTGTGGCACTGCCTAGTGGAGTCTGTACCCTCATTGTATCTAGTAAGTAACTAACTTGCTTTTGATTTTACAGGCTCAGTAGGTGGAAGGGACTGCCTTCTCTTAGATGAGATTTTGGACTGTGGACTTTTTAGTTAATGCTGAAATAAGTAAAGACTTTGTGGGACTGTTGAGAAGACATGATTAATTTTGAAATGTGAGCACATGAGATCTGTGAGGGGATGGGGCAGAATGATACTGGTTTGGCTGTGTCCTCACCCAAATCTCATCTTGAATTGTAGGTTCCCATAATTCCCACATATTGTGGGAGGGCCCCTAGCAGGAGGTAATTGAAGCATGGAGACCGTTTCTCCCCTACTGTTCACATGGTAGTGAATAGGTCTCACTAGATCTGATGGTTTTATAAGGGGTTTCCTGTTTTGCTTGGCTCTCATTTGCTCTTGTCTGCTGCCATGTAAGATGTACCTTTCACCTTCTGCCATGATTGTGAGGCCTCTCCAGCCATGTGGAACTGTTGAGTCCATTAGACTTCTTTTTCTTTATAAATTACCCAGTCTCAGATATGTCTCTATCAGCAACGTGAAAACAGACGAATACACCAGGCACGGTGGCTCCTGCCTGTAGTCCCAGCTACTTAGGAGGCTGAGGCTGGAGGATTGCTTGAGCCTGGGAGGCAGAGGTTGGAGTGACCTGAGTATGCACCACTGCACTCCATCCTAGGTGACCGAGTGAGACCCAGTCTCAAAAAAAAAAAAAAAAAAAAAAAAAAAAAAAAAAAAAAAATTGCTTGAATTGTTAACACCTCTAAGCATTTGATTAAATCACAACTATACCTTGTGTTCCTAAATTTTTTCAAAACAAGAAAATTTTAAATAAAAACATTCAAAAACTGACAAGCTATCTTACACTACAAGGATCTACAAGTAGAGTCAATTCTGTGGACAGTTATAACTGAAAGCAGACAGATATTTAAAGATGGAGGTATGTATAGAGAAAGGGAGGCAAAATGAATTAGGGTACTTGACATCTGCGAACTGTCTAAGGATCCTCAAAACAAGACCTTTACAGGGGAGCAACAAAGAGAACCATTTATTCTCTGCCAACAACAGGGTCATTCTACATTGAGACTGACCTGCCTTTCGTTGTTATGTGTCAACGACACTTAGATTGGTCCAGAGAAAAAAAGGAACAAAGAAGCAATTTTGTGATGTGTGGGGCAAGGCAAGAACTAGATAGCCTAAGGACAAGCAGGGCTGGGAATTACCTTCCGTTCATCCAAGTTACAAGGAAAAGTTTTGGGTGAGCGTCCAAGAACAATCGCAGACTCAAGAATAATGTAGTCTTACGGGCTGAGAATTCTTTGTGACCTTAAACCTTTACAGGACACTGACCCACGGAGAGGTCAAACCCGCGCCCAGGACGCACAGTCAGCGAAGAGGCAGAGCTGAGAAGGGAACCCGGAGCTCCACGCTACGGCTCTTCCAGCTACACCTGCCCTAAGCAGTGCGTTTTCTTCTCCGTGCTCCCTGCGGGTGTTCTCTTCTGGAATCTCGGCCCTTTCTGCTTTCGCACCTGCAGGGTTTAAGTCTCCAGGGCTGCTTAGGTGGGCGCCAGGAACCGGGCAGACTCCACCAGTGCCACGGAGACCTTGGAAACCCGGGGCGGCTGCGCTCCACTCCATCTCTCCCGACCCCACCCGGCAACGCTTGGCCGTTGCCATGGAGACTGGTAATGGCCCCGCCTCCACGCCGGAAAACAGGCGAGAACCACATGACCCAGAAGCCTGTGCGCGAGCGTCTGCGCGCCTATTGGGCCAATGTGAGCTGAGGGGGCTGGACTTCCGGCTCTGGGACTGTCATTTCGCTGCCCGCGTCAGGCCATACCGGTGGCCTGGGCTGTGACGCGCGGGTGGGGGCCGAGGCGGGCGGCTAGGAAGGTACTGACCGCGAGCAGCCGCTGGCTCCCGCAAGCCTCGGTTTCTTCGAGTGCGGCGTGGGCGACCCGGGGGCAGTCGGACCCCAACGGGAGCCACGCGTTCTCCGGCGCCATGGAAGCCCCGGAGGGGGCGCACTGGGCATTCTGCGCCCAAGACTACCGGGGAGGCTGAGGCGCGCACGGGGCAGTCGCGGGACCCTGCGGGCGGAGATGGCGGTGCCGGGTGGTCCACGCCTCTCTCCCCGCCCAGCTGCGGTTTCGGTGGCGGCGCTGACAGACCCGCGCCGGGAGGCGGGGGAGCCCCTGCTCCCGCAGAGGGAGGCCCTTTCCTAGACCTCTCGCCCGGTCGTCTTTCCTCTTCCTGCCCTGGGGCGTCAGGGCAGACCCCTGTGTTCAAGGCACCTGTGGGCTGAGGTCCTGATAGAGTTCTGCATGTGGAAAACCTGGGAGGGGAGCCGGAGCGCTCGTGACGTGGAGCTCGGGGAGAGGGGACGCCTGTGGCTGCAGTAGCGCGCGAGGAGGTGGGCTTGATCTCGAGGGCGTCGGGAGACATAGAAGGTTTTGAACAGAATCAGGACACCCTCTGACTTGGAATTTTAAAAAGGTTCCACCGCTTGCTGCGTGGAGAACAGACATGCAGGGGTATCGGCATGAATGGAAGAACCTACTGCCACAGTCTGTGCAGCGGTGGAGGTGGGCGACCAGGTGAATTCTGGTGAATCTGTGGATGCATCAGGTGTGGGGTGGTTGAAGAATTAACTGCCCCACGTTGTTCACCCTGAGCGCCTGGAAGAAGGGAGCTGCTGTAGACAAAGGAGAATTGAAGGGAAAGCAGGATTCCTTCAGGGGAAAGATCAGGAGTCTGGGATGTCCCAGATTGGTCATGTCACTAGACCTGACGTTGGTGACCTGGGCTGAGGACAGGGCATATGAACTGGACTGAGGAAGGCCTGCAGTGACTCAGGCCTGGGCAGTTAAAGCTTGAGGGTAAAGAAAACTGCCTGGGGGGTCTGAGGCTATCAGGGGAGGCGTTCAGCAGGTGACTGAAAGGAGAAGATGGCAGCAAAGTGGGAAAGAAATAGAGGGGCGCCATGCGGAGGGAGGTAGGGATTGAATTCCTGTGTGTTCACAGGTTCTTGGGGCTGTTCCCCTTTGATGACTGGTGGGGATCATCCTTTTCCTCAGGCTGTCAGGCAAGCACAGCAGGGGAAGATCTCAGTGATGGGCATGTGTGTGGGGTCCACAGCTGGGACTTCACACAGTTGCTTATTACAAAAGCAAGAAGGACGTATTTGGGGAGGGACATGAGTGGTCATGCTGAGACATGAGTGGATACTTGGGACCGCCCTTGATGTGGCAGCTAACAGCCCAGTCAGGGCTTGCTCTAGCCTGCTTGTGTAGGGGTGGCCAGTGGGGAGGTCCATCAGGGGCCTGGACCAAGAGAGCAGAGGAGAGGGAAGTGCCACTTGAAATAATCCTGGGACAGAACCCAGGGAAGGAGAGACCTCAGGGGAGGTGACTGTTGGGATGGGGAGCTTGGTCCTGGGTCACATCCATACCTTAGACCATGCCTACCTCCACCTCCCTGTCCTTTTAGGATCTGATGGCCTTTGAGGATGTGGCTGTGTACTTCTCCCAGGAGGAATGGGGGCTCCTGGACACAGCACAGAGGGCCCTGTACCGCCACGTGATGCTGGAAAACTTCACACTTGTGACCTCACTTGGTAAGGCCCTGAATGCTCCTGGAAAGTGCAGTCGGTGACCTGGGACTTCCTTTTCACTTCCCTCCTGGCCAATGAGCAGGGTCAAATCTCACTGGGGCCGTGTGGAACAGGGTTCTGGTCCTGTAGACATGTAGTTCGGTTGGGTCAGCCACTCCCTGCAGCCCTGTCCAGCTGTGGCCTCTCCCGTGCCTGGGCACAGTCCCCTTCCTTTGGTGCTCTGGGCACAGTTCTGCTCTGGGGACGCATGAGCTACTCCTGTGATCCACTTGCCCTGTGCCATCTTTAGATCTCCCAGTTGCACCAATGACTATTTCCATGGAACCCTGACTCCTGCTCTCTGTTGGGAGGTGTGTTGTCTTAAGCTGGGGCTGGGCTCTCACCTGCTTCTCATCCTCACAGGACTCTCCACCTCCCGACCTCTTGTGGTCATTCAACTTGAGCGTGGTGAGGAGCCCTGGGTTCCCAGTGTGAAGGACATGACCTTGGCCAGGAATGTCTATGGGAGGTGCAACACTGGTGAGTGGGAGCTCAGGGTGGGGTGAACTCAGGACCAACCTGTGGCCAAGCCTCTGTCTCCCATTTTCTGACTCTGGAAACAAATCCTCCTCTCCTGCCTTCCACCTTACTTCTTCTCTTTCAGCCTCTCCTGGAGGCTGGAGACTTAGTAGGTGCCCTTGAAGGGAGAGCTACAAGGGCACAGGAGCTGGTTCACACAGAAGGGCCTAACCTCAGCTGGGCTGTGTGGCCTTGAATCCTCCATGACTAGTGGCCATGATTGATAGGTCATTTATTTCTCCCATCGTTCGTCTTTGGATTCATCAGATGTTTCCTTTTTGTTGTTGTTGTTGTTTTTTTTTTGTTTGTTTGTTTGTTTGTTGTTTTTTTTTTGAGACGGAGTTTCGCTCTTGTTACCCAGGCTGGAGTGCAATGGCGCAATCTCGGCTCACCGCAACGTCTGCCTCCTGGGTTCAGGCAATTCTCCTGCCTCAGCCTCCTGAGTAGCTGGGATTACAGGCATGTGCCACCATGCCCAGCTAATTTTTTGTATTTTTAGTAGAGACGGGGTTTCACCATGTTGACCTGGATGGTCTCGATCTTTTGACCTCGTGATCCACCCGCCTTGGCCTCCCAAAGTGCTGGGATTACAGGCTTGAGCCACCGTGCCTGGCCAGGTGTTTTTTATTTTATTTTATTTTATTTAGAGACAGGGTTTCTCGATGTTGGTCAGGCTGGTCTTGAACTCCCAACCTCAGGTAATCCGCCCGCCTCAGCCTCCCAAAGTGCTGGGATTACAGGCATGAGCCACCATGCCCGGCCTCATCAAATGTTTCTTGAGGGCTTGCAGGAACTATAGACACAGCCTTGACCAGGACACTTCTGGTCCTACCTTTGTGGGGCTGATGGGGAGAGGCACTCAGTAAACAGGATTCAGGAGTACAGTCTAGAGCATTGGATGGAGGTCACTGCAAGAGCAGGCTGGGAATTCGGTGCCCAAGACAGGGGCACCAGGGAAGAAGGGAGTGAGCTATGGAAAGGGAGTGGGTGGAACAGCCAGTGCGGAGACCTGGGTGTCACACAGCAGCTGCTCAGTTTTCCTCGGCCCAGCATCCTGGGTGTCTGGGGGCTGTCGCCTTGATCATGGGAGTTCCCACTGCAGTCAGTGCCACTCCTGTCAGGGCAGATGCTTCCCCCAAACCCCCAGCCCCTCTTGCAGGGCTGGCGTCACCTCTACTTTTCCCCTAAGCTTTTGTGCCAGCCCCCAAGTTCCCCCTTGCTTGTCCACTCAGCCTACCCTGGTCCTCTGCTAACCAGGATGCCCCATCCAACCACTATTTCTCTGCCTTTAGGTTCCTGGCGTTTGGAAGAGGATGGAGATGTTTCCGGAGAAGCAGCATGGCCAGGGGCCTTCCCAGATACTCCACCTGTGATGACTGCTAGTGTCTTCCCTGTTGCCGGTGCCTGCCACAGTACAGAAGGCCTGAAGCAACAACGGGGTGCCTCCCCATCTCGGGAGAGAAAACCCACGGGGGTGTCGGTGATATACTGGGAGAGGCTCCTGCTAGGCTCAGGCAGGGACCAGGCCAGCCTGCGACTGACCTCCCCGCTCAGGCCCCCAAAGAGCAGCCGGCCCAGGGAAGAGACCCTCACAGACCACCTAGTGCCTAGGAGGCAGTCCAGGGTGCCCAAGCGTCAAAAATCATGTGCGCCGGAGTGCCCTGGGAGAGCCTCCGGGAACGCCCCGGACCTGAAGGCCGCCGGTGGTGGAGGGGATCATGGAATGGGTTCGGCTTGGCAGGAGCCTCAGAGGCTCCTCGGTGGCCAGGAGCCCTCGACCTGGGATGAGCTGGGCGAGGCTCTCCACGCTGGGGAAAAGTCCTTCGAATGCAGGGCGTGCAGCAAAGTGTTCGTGAAGAGCTCCGACCTCCTCAAGCACCTACGCACCCACACCGGGGAGCGGCCCTACGAGTGCTCCCAGTGCGGCAAGGCCTTCAGCCAGACGTCGCACCTGACGCAGCACCAGCGCATCCACAGCGGCGAGACGCCCTACGCGTGCCCCGCGTGTGGCAAGGCCTTCAGGCACAGCTCCTCACTGGTGCGGCACCAGCGCATCCACACGGCTGAGAAGTCCTTCCGCTGCTCCGAGTGCGGCAAGGCCTTCAGCCACGGCTCCAACCTCAGCCAGCACCGCAAGATACACGCGGGCGGGCGTCCCTATGCCTGTGCACAGTGTGGCCGCCGCTTCTGCCGCAACTCGCACCTGATCCAGCACGAGCGCACGCATACGGGCGAGAAGCCCTTCGTGTGTGCGCTCTGCGGTGCCGCCTTCAGCCAGGGCTCCTCACTCTTTTTGCACCAGCGTGTGCACACGGGCGAGAAGCCCTTCGCTTGCGCACAGTGCGGCCGTTCCTTTAGCCGCAGCTCCAACCTGACCCAGCACCAGCTCCTGCACACGGGCGAGCGGCCCTTCCGCTGCGGGGACTGTGGCAAGGGTTTCGCCAAGGGCACTGTGCTGCTGAGCCACCGGCGCATCCACACGGGCGAGAAGCCCTTCGTGTGCACGCAGTGTGACCGTGCCTTCTGTGAGCGCCCAGCCCTCTTGCACCACCAGAGGATCCACAGCACAGAGAAGACCAATGCCGGAGCAGCAGACTGCACCCCCGCGCCAGGACTCCTTCAGGTGCATCGTCGGAAGGTGCGTCGGGGAGGGAAGCCCAGCCCAATCCTGAAGCCAGCGAAAGTCTGAGGTCACAGGTTGCAGCCTCACCCTTTCGTGGCCTTATGTGAATCCCTTTCATAGCTAAAGAGTCCATGTCCTCTTCAAATCCACGATGGGGAAAAGCCCTGTGCCTGAGTCAGGGAAGAGGGAGACCCTTTGGGTGTGGTTCCATTTGCAGGTGGGAAGGGGATTTGCCAGTTTATTCATAGCTCACACCTCCATCCCCAAAGAGGTAACATTGCAGAAGCATCAGAGTGAGGACATGTCAGCTGGGACTCTGGTGGGACTGAGGCTGTAGCTGGAGCCATAGGAGGCTGACAAAATCAGCAGTGCACGATGGTGCTGCTTCATGTGTGATGATACTGGATGCTGAAGTCAGGGGAATGCAGACGTGGGGTAGGGGTGGCCAGAGAAACTTAGGGCATCTGCATACAAACTGGCTGCTGTACAGACGCTGAGGACATTTTCCCCCCAGGCCTCTGTGCAAGCCTTCGTGGGGGCCATCCCTCCAGATAGGAGACGGTAGGGGGCTGAGAATCAGGGTGTGGTCTATGAGTATCAGCGTCCTCCTCTGGGAAAAAGAAAAGGCTTGGGTCTTTTCAGCATCATGTTTGCAGATTCTGACAGGCAGGATCCTAATGACAGTCAACCTGTGCTCACTGCCGTCTCCTGGGCTGTGTGTGCTCTGGTCAGCCAAGTGTGAGGGGCTGGCCTGGGGTCAAGCACACAGCCGACTCAGGAGAGGGATGCCCGTGGGGGAGCATGTGGCTCTCAGCACTGGAAGGACAAATCTAGGATGATGGTTTTCCAGTGGCACTTGTTCAGGTGCTCATCCACGTCTCAGCTTGGCCAAGGCCTGTCACGGACTTGTTTACCAAAGTCGATGTGATGAGGAGGCTTTACACTTGAAAGGACAGTGATAGCTTCAGAGCAGATAAAGTGGAGCTGCTCATTTTTGCTAGGTTTGGTGGCCACTTTCCCCCATCCAACTCCCTGTCTCATCTTACCCTTATTATGCCTCCTCAGTTGGGGGTTTGACAAGAGAGCTGAATAGGAAGGACTTGCCATTACCTAAGGCCATGCATGACACCCTCCTGAGGACTTCCCCACCCCGTGTAATGGCCCTGTCCAGAGATAGAAGGGTGGACTGGGGGCCATTTGCTTCCTGTGGCCTTAAGCCTACTATACCGCATCCCTACCTAGGACCTTACTTTCAAGGAAATTAATGGTCTTTTCAATGGAAAAAATAAAAAGATGAGCATTTGCAACTTAAAATAGATGTAGTTTCCTTTACAGCAGTGTGGACCTCCACAGCACAGCCTCCTGTCTCTATTCCAGGGCATGGTTCAGTCTTTTTTGTTTGTGTGTTTGTTTTTGAGACGTAGTTTTGCTCTTGTTGTCCAGGCTGGAGTGCAATGTTACGATCTTGGCTCACTGCAACCTCCAACTCCTGGGTTCAAGTGATTCTCCTGCCTCAGCCTCCTGAGTAGCTGGGATTACAGGAATGTACCAACACACCCAGCTAATTTTGTATTTTTAGTAGAGACAGGGTTTCTCCATGTTGGTCAGGCTGGTCTCAAGCTCCCAACCTCAGGTGATCCATTCACCTCGGCCTCCCAAAGTGCTGCGATTACAGGCGTGAGCCACCATGTTTGTTTGTTTATTGAGACAGTGTCTCAGTCTGTTGCCCAGGCTGGAGTGCAGTGGGGCAATCTCGGCTCCGCCTCCTGAGTTGAAACCATTCTTCTGTGTCAGCACCTTGAGTAGCTGGGATTGCAGACTTCCACTACCACACCTGACTAATTTTGGTATTTTTAGTAGAGACGAGGTTTCACCATGTTGGTCAGGCTGGTCTCAAACTGACCTCAAGTGATCGGCCTACCTTGTTCTCCCGAAGTGCTGGGATTACAGGCGTGAGCCACTGCCTGCCTACGTACCATGATTTTAAAGTTGCAGTGGTCCCTATTGCTTGCAACTCAGTCTTATCTTTTTAGTGGTAACCAATTTCTGTTTCAAACTGAAAGGTGCATGAGAGTGAGTTCTGGTATTGGTTTGTTTTGTATCACTATAAAGGAACACCTAAGGCTAGGTAATATATAAAGAAAAGAGGATTAATTGGCTCATGGTTTTACAGGATGTACAGCCATGGCACCAGCATCTGCATGGCTTCTGGTGGGACCTCAGGAAGCTTGCAGTCATGATGGAAGGTGAAGGAAGAGCTGTCATATCACATGGCAAGACAGGAAGCAAGAGAGAGACGGAGGAAGTGCCACACATCTTTTTTTTTTCCGAGACAGAGTTTCACTCTTGTTGCCCAGGCTGGAGTACAATGGCACGAGCTCAGCTCGCTGCAACCTCTGTCTCCTGGGTTCAAGTGATTCTCCTGCCTCAGCCTCCTGAGTAGCTGGGATTATAGGTGTGTACCACCATGTCAGCTAATTTTCATATAATATTTTTAGTACAAACAGGGTTTTGCCATGTTGGCCAGGCTTGTCTCAAATTTCTGGCCTCAAGTGATCTACCGCCTCAGCCTCCCAGAGTTGGGATTATAGGCATCAGCCACTGCACCCAGCTGTCACACACTTAAACAACCAAATCTTTCATGAACTCAGAGCAAGAGCTCATTTCTCATCAAGGGGGATGGTGCTAAGCTATTCATGAGGGATCTGCCCCCATACTATAGTTTGGATGTTTGTCTCCTCCAGATCTCATGTTGAAATGTAATCCCCAGTTTTGGATATGGGGCCTGGTGAGAGGGGTTTGGGTCATGGGGGTGGATGTCTTGGTGCTGTCCTCATGACAGTGAGTTGTCACAAGATGTGGCTATTTAAAAGTGTGTGGTACCTCCTTCCTTTATCTCTTGCTCCTGCTCTCAGCTCCCACTTCATCCTACCATCACTGTGATCCAATTGAACCTTTTTATAAATTACCCAGCCTTAGGTATTTCTTTATAGTAATACAGGAATGGCTTCATATACTTCATGATCCAACACCTCCCACTAGACCGCACGTCCAGCACTGGAGATCACATTTCAACATGAGATTTCGAGGAGACACACATCCAAACCATATCAGTTTTCTTGTCCCTAAGTGAAGAGGCACTTGCTCCCTCTAAACCCAATTCTAGGTGACTAGAGATTTACGAAGGTGGCGGGATGTTTGTTCATGATGTGTTGTGGCCTCACAGGGTCTCCCTACTTCTGCAAGAACACCACTTTCAGGGACTTTGGCTCAGCCAGAAGGTTCACATAAAGGTTGGTCATCTGGTACTTCGAGCACTCTGCCAACACAGGTGATCATAGATTCCAGGACACAAAAAAGAGTGAATTGCCAGGCATGGTAGCTCACACCTGTAATCCCAGCACTTTGGGAGGCCAAGGCAGGCAGATCACGAGGTCAGGAGTTTGAAAGCAGCCTGGCCAAGATTGTAAAACCCGGTCTCTACTAAGGAAAATACAAAAATTAGCCAGGCCTGGTGGCGGACGCCTATAATCCCAGCTACTCAGGAGGCTGAGGCAGAGAACTGCTTGAACCTGGGAGGTGGAGGTTGCAGTGAGCCGAGATTGCACTACTGCACTCCAGGCTGGGGGACAGGGTGAAACCTGGGAGGTGGAAGTTGCAGTGAGCCGAGACTGAACGCAAACTCCAGCCTGGGTGAAATAAAAAGAGCTCTATCATCAGATGTCAGCTTAATTAAAAGCTGAGCTGATATTCAGGAGAGAGAGAGAGAGAGAGAGATAATTTTTTTTTTTTTTTTGAGACGCAGTTTCGCTCTTGTTGCCCAGGGTGGAGTGCAATGGCGCGATCTCGGCTCACCGCAACCTCCGCCTCCTGGGTTCAGGCAATTCTCCTGCCTCAGCCTCCTGAGTAGCTGGGATTACAGGCACGTGCCACCATGCCCAGCTAATTTTTAGTATTTTTAGTAGAGACGGGGTTTCACCATGTTGACCAGGATGGTCTCGATCTCTCGACCTCGTGATCCACCCGCCTCGGCCTCCCAAAGTGCTGGGATTACAGGCTTGAGCCACCGCGCCTGGCCGATTTTTTTTTTTTTTTTTTAAGAAAAAATAACCTTTCTAGTTTTTCTCATTTGGATCCTGTTTCTCAGATTTTTTTTTTTTTTTTTTTTTTTTTTTTTTTTTTTTTTTTGAGATGGAGTTTAGCTCTGTTGCCCAGGCTGGGGTGCAGTGGTGCAATCTAAGCTCACTGTAACCTCCGTCTCCCGTGTTCAAGCGATTCTGCTGCGTCAGCCTCCTGAGTAGCTGAGACTACAGGCACCTGCCACCATGCCCAGCTAATTTTTTGTATTTTTGGTAGAGACAGGGTTTCACTGTGTCTCTACTAAAAGAGTAGGATGATCTCAATCTTAAAAGATTGAGATAAGCCGGGCGCGGTGGCTCAAGCCTGTAATCCCAGCACTTTGGGAGGCCGAGGCGGGTGGATCACGAGGTCAAGAGATCGAGACCATCCTGATCAACTTAGTGAAACCCCGTCTCTACTAAAATTACAAAAAATTAGCTGGGCATGGTGGCGCGTGCCTGTAATCCCAGCTACTCAGGAGGCTGAGGCAGGAGAATTGCCTGAACCCAGGAGGCGGAGGTTGCGGTGAGCTGAGATCGCGCCATTGCACTCCAGCCTGGGTAACAAGAGCGAAACTCCATCTCAAAAAAAAAAAAAAAAAAAAAAAAATTGAGATAAAATAAAATAAATAAAATAAAATAAAAGTGAGGATGATCTCAATCTCCTGACCTCTCAATCTCCTGACCTCTCAATCTCCTGACCTCCTGGTGCGCCTGCCTTGGCCTTCCGAAGTGCTGGAATTACAGGTGTGAGCCACTGTACCCAGCCAGAATTTTTTTTTTCTTAGTTGACTGAAACTACTTTTTAAATGTGTTTGGTCCCTCTGTTTCCTTCTTTCCTTGTGAGTATGATGTAAAAAAAAATTTTTTTTTTTTGAGATGGAGTTTCACTCTTGTTACCCAGGCTGGAGTACAATGGCGCGATCTCGGCTCACCGCAACCTCCACCTCCTGGGTTCAGGCAATTCTCCTGCCTCAGCCTACTGAGTGGCTGGGATTACAGGCATGCATCACCATGCCCAGCTAATTTTTTGTATTTTTTTTTTTTTTTTTTTTTTTTTTTGGGACGGAGTTTCACTCTTGTTACCCAGGCTGGAGTGCAATGGCGCGATCTCGGCTCACCGCAACCTCCGCCTCCTGGGTTCAGGCAATTCTCCTGCCTCAGCCTCCCGAGTAGCTGGGATTACAGGCATGTGCCACCATGCCCAGCTAATTTTTGTATTTTTAGTAGAGACGAGGTTTCACCATGTTGACCAGGATGGTCTCGATCTCTTGACCTCGTGATCCACCCGCCTCGGCCTCCCAAAGTGCTGGGATTACAGGCTTGAGCCACCGCGCCCGGCAATTTTTTGTATTTTTAGTAGAGACGGGGTTTCACCATGTTGACCAGGATGGTCTCGATCTCTTGACCTCATGATCCACCCGCCTCGGCCTCCCAAAGTGCTGGGATTACAGGCTTGAGCCACCGCGCCCAGCCCTTGATGTAAAATTTTACTGGCCTTCTGAAAAACTTAAAATCTCTCCAAATTGTTTTATTTAAGAGTTGTTCTTCCACCTTCTTCTACTTTTTCTTCCTTTTGCTATCTTTGATACCACATAAAGGAATCCGAGAGAGTCTTCTAATGTCCCTGAGACCCTTTGAGGGACACAGAAAAAGTGTCACATATACCTTTTATGGAGTCTTCTGTCTTCCTCATGGAGTCCTAGAGTAGCAGGCAGTTTATTTTAAGTCTAAAGCTCTGATCTCTTTTACATTGATTTCTCTGATGTTTTGGCTTGGGGGGGGTTCTATGAAAAAACATGATCTTTGGGTGAGTAATGGCTGGCAAGTTACTGGCAAGGGCTGCAGTTTTGGTGGTAGGTGATAGCAGTTGTCAGTGAGTGGTTATTACTGCAGGGTCTACTAATTCCTTTGCATGTTTAAATAAGAAAACCATTGTTTGAACACTTGGAGACTTACAGAAACACTCATCACCAAGGGATAAGAACCCTGTGGGAGACGGGCTGATCACAGAGTGGGCTAATTGGTGCTAGGTCTCCCACCAGCCTCAGGGAATGTCCATGCAGTGATGTGCACTGTAGAAGCATGGCCCCGTCCTGTGGTATTTCCATCTTGTAGGGGACTCAAGATTCCATATAAAAGTGGGATTCTTGATTTTTGAAGCGCTAGATGCTCTGCCTTTCAACTGTGTCAGTTTTTTACATAGATGAGGTTTCACCATGTTGGTCAGGCTGGTCTCAAACTCCTGACCTTGTGATCTGCCTGCCTTGGCCTCCCAAAGTGCTGGGATTACAGGCGTGAGCCACCACACCCAGACTGTATTTTTCATTTTTAAAAAATGCAGCCCTGCTTTAGTAGACATCTTGGATCACTGTAGATCGCGAACTGAGGCTGTCCCACTCCCCAAGAAAGAAGAGGACAAAACTTAAAATGGCCGTGGTTAAAGATGTGATTGTCAAAAAAAGAAAAAAAATGGTCACTTTATTTTTTGTGACTGAAAACATAATAATCATAATTATGACTGATAGCATACCATATACCAGTCATCTTGTTGTTCAAACCAGGATGAGAAGTGGAAAATGTATTAGAAAATATCACTCAGCACTGGGCATGGTGGCTGATGCCTGTAATCCCAGCACTTTTGGAGGCTGAGGCGGGTGGATCACAAGGCCAAGAGATCGAGACCATCCTGGCCAACACGGTGAAACACCGTCTCTACTAAGAAATACAAAAATTAGCTGAGCATGGTGGTGTGTCTGTAGTCCCAGCTACTTGGGAGTCTGAGGCAGGAGAATCACTTGAAGCAGGAGGCGGAGGTTGCAGTGAGCTGAGATTCAGGCAGATCACTTGAGGTCAGGAGTTTGAGACCAGCCCTACCAACATAGTGAAACCTTGTCTCTACTAAAAATACAAAAAAATTAGCTGGGTGTGGTGGCATGCACCTGTAATTTCAGCTATTCGGGAGGCTGAGGTACGAGAATCTCTTGAACCCAGAAGGCAGAGATTGCAGTGAGTCAGGATTGCGCCATGCACTCCAGCCTGGGTAACAGAGCAAGGTGCTGTCTCAAAAAAAAAAAAAAAGTTTAAATTATTTCAAAGTAACAAAATTTATATTAAAACATTCCAAACCTGATGAGCCTTCTTGCGCTACAAGGATTTACAAGTAGAATCAATTAGGTGGACAGTTATAGCTGACAGTAGACAGAGAGGAGGTAGGCATAGAGGAGGTAGGTATAGAGGGAGGTAGGTATAGAGGGAGGGAGGCAAAAAGAATTAAGGAATTTCACACCTGAGAACTGTCTACAGGTCCCAAAAACAAGACAAAGAGAGAAGCTTTTATTCTCCACCAACAGGGACAGTCTACATTGAGACTGCGCTGCCTTTCGTTTTTATCTGTCAAAGACACTTAAATTGGCCTGTAATCCCAGCACTTTGGGAAGCTGAGGCAGGCGGATCACCTGAGGTCAGGAGTTCAAGACCACCCTTTCAAACATGGTGAAACCCCATCTCTACTAAAAATACAAAAATTAGCCGGGTGTGGTGGTGTGCACCTGTGGTCCCGCCTAGAAGGGAGGCTGAGGCAGGAGGATCACTTGAAGCTGGAGGCGGAGGTTGCAGTGAGCCTAGATCGCGCCACTGCAGTCCAGCATTGGCAACAGAGCAAGATCCTGTCAAAAAATCGAAACAAAACAAAAACTTGGTCCCAAGAAAAAAATTGGTCCCAAGAAAAAAGGAAAAAAGAATCAGTATTGTGATGTGTGGGGCCAGACAAAAAGTAGATGATCTAAGGAAAGCAAGCCTGGGGAAGTACCTTCTGCCCATCCGAATTACAGGAAAACAGACGCTTTGGGTAAGCGTCCTAGAACAATCACAGACGCAAGACAAATACAGGCTTACAGGCTGAGAATTCTTGGCGTAGAGGTTGAAAAACTGACCTTAGGCCGGTCGCGGTGGCTCATACCTGTAATCTCAGCACTTTGGGATGCGGAGGCGGGCGGATCACGAGGTCAGGAGTTTGAGACCAGCCTGGTAGACATGGCCAAACCCCGTCTCAACTAAAAATACAAAAATTAGCCAGGCGTGGTGGCGGGCGCCTGTAATCCCAGCGACTCTGGAGGCTGAGGCAGTAGAATCACTAGAACCCGGGAGGTGGAGGTTGCAGTGAGCCGAGATTGTGCCATTGCACTCCAACCTGGGCGACAAGAGCAAGACTACGTCTCAAAAAAAAAAAAAAAAAAAAAAAAAAACTTAAACATTTACGGGACACTGACACAGAGAGAGGTCAAACCCGTGCCCAGTACGCACGGTCAGTGAGAGACAGAGCTGGGAAGGGAACCCGGAGCTCCAGGCAACGACTCCTCCACCTCCCCCTGCCCTACCCGGTGCGTTTTCTCCCTCGTGCTCCCTGCTGGTGTTGCCTTCTGGAACCTTGGCAGTTTCTGCTTTCGTACCTGCAGGGTTTAGTCTCGGGGCTGCTTGGGTGGGCGCCGGCAACCCGTAACCCGAAGGCAGGACTACCCACCAGGCGAGTCCACCGGCGCCACCGAGACCCTGAAAGCCCGGGGTAGCCAGGCAACTCCATTTCCCAGCGCCCCGCGCGGCGGCGCTTGGACGTTGCCATGGAGACCGGTAAGGGCCCCGCCTCTACGGCGAGAAACTGGCGGGAACCACATGACCCCGAAGGCTGTGCGCCAGCATCCGCGGCGCGCATTGGTCCAATGGGAACCGGAGGGCTGGACTTCCGGCGGCGAGGCTGTCACTTCGCGGCTCGCGTCAGGCCACATCGGTGGTCCGGGCCGGGGCCCGCGGGTCGGGGCCGCTTTCCAGGAGGTTCCCGGGGCCCGAGGCGGGCGGCGAGGAAGGTACTGGCGGAGGGCCCGCGTCGGGCCCGCCCTGCGCACGCGTCGTGACCGAGGGCGCCGGCGGCCGGCCGCGTCCCCTGAACCTCTGGTTCTCAGTGCGTCGTGGGCGTTCCGGGGACTGTCGGCCGCAGCGGGAGCACCGCGCTCTCCCGCCGTGCGGCAGCCCAGGAGGCCGCGCGCCGGGCGTTCCGTGTCCTTGACGGCCGGGGAGGCCGAGGCGCGGGGTGGCCCGGGGATGCTGCGGGTGGGGATGGCGGTGCCGGGTGGTCCACGCCTTTCTTCCCTCCCAGTTGCCGGTTCCGCTGCGGCGGCGGCGCTGACAGGCCCGCGCCGGGGAGGCGGGGGAGCCCCTGCTCCCACGGAGGGAGGCCGCTTTCTAGACCTCGCCTCGTCGTGTTTCCTCTCCCTGCCCTGGGTGCTTAGGGGGTCAGTGCAAACCCCGGTGTCCAGGGCACTGGTGGGCTCCCGACTTCTGGCAGCCAAGCGGCTGAACTCCTGAAGGAAGCTGGGAGGGGAGAGCCCCGAGTGTGCACAACCTGGGAGGGCAGCTCGCGCCCAGGTGCTTCCGGGACGGAGCGCGCTCGACGTGGAGCTCGGGGAACCGTGGGCTGTGTGTGGCTGCAGTAGCCGGCGAGGAGGTGGGCTTGATCTCGAGGGCGTCGGGAGACGTGGAAAGTTTTGAACAGAATCAGGACATCCTCTGAGTTGGGGTTTTAAAATGGTCCTACCGTTTGCCGCGTGGAGAACAGACATGCAGGGGTGTCGGCGTGAATGGAAGAACCTGTCTGGGCAGCTGTAGAGGTGACATCAGGTAATTCCAGGTGCATCTGCGGATGCATCACGTGTGGGGTGGCCGAAGAACTACCCCATGTTGTTCAGCCTGAGCGCCTGGAGGAAGGGAGCTGCTGTAAACAGAAAGGAGGATTAAAGGGAAAGCAGGTTTCCTCCAGGGAAAAGATCAGGAGTCTGGGATGTCCCAGGTTGGTCATGTCACTGGATCTGACGTTGTTGGTGTCCTGGGCTCTGGACAGGGCCTATGAATTGAACTGAGGAGTGGGTAGAGACTCAGCTAGGTGTGGGCAGTTATGGCTTGAGGGTAAAGAAGACCAGCTGCCATGCCTGGGGCTATCAGGAGAAGGGGAGGAGGGGAGCCGGCTGAGGAGGGGAGGGAGGCAACAGAGAGGGAAAGAAATAGAGGGGGCACCCTGAGGAAGGAAGAAAGGATTCAGTTCCTCTGTGTTCACGGGTTCTTGGGATGCTCCCCAGTGGCTACTGGTAAGAATCATCCAGTCTCGCCGGGCGCGGTGGCTCAAGCCTTTAATCCCAGCACTTTGGGAGGCCGAGGCGGGTGGATCACGAGGTCGAGAGATCGAGACCATCCTAGTCAACATGGTGAAACCCCGTCTCTACTAAAAATACAAAAAACTAGCTGGGCATGTTGGCGCGTGCCTGTAATCCCAGCTACTTAGGAGGCTGCAGCAGGAGAATTGCCTGAGCCCAGGAGGCGGAGGTTGCGATGAGCCGAGATCGCGCCATTGCACTCCAGCCTGGGTAACAGGAGCGAAACTCCGTCTCAAAAAAAAAAAAAAAAAAAAAAAAAAAAATCATCCAGTCTCTCAGGCTGCATGAGCAACCTGGCAATGTCAGGCAAGCAGGCTCAGCAGGGGAGGGTACCAGTGATGGATATTCCCGGGAAGCCCCAGCTGGGACTTAAACAGTTTATTGTTACAAGAGCAGAAAGGGCACATCTGAGGAGGGTCATGAGCAGTCATACTGAGTCATGAGTGGACACCTGCGGCTGCTCTTGGTGTGGCAACCGAGGGCCCAGCCAGGACTTGCTCTAGACTGCTTGTGTATGGAATGGCCAGTGGGGAGGCCAAGAAGGCATCTGTGGTGTGGACAGGAAGGGAGGGGTCCCAGACATGAGGGAAGTGCCATCTGAAGATAGTGGGGGCGGAATCCAGGGAAGGAGGATGAGTGTCTGAGGGACATCATGGGAAGTGGCCGTTGGGTTGGGGAGCTTGATCCTGGCTCACAGTCATACCTTCAACCAAGCTTGTCCAACCCCCAGCCCAGGATGGCTTTGAATGTGGCCCAGAACAAATTCTTAAGCTTTCTTAAAACATGAGATATTTTTGCAATTTTTTTTTTTTGTTTAGCTCATCAGCTGTTATTAGTATTAGTGTATTTTATGTGTTGCCCAAGACAATTCTTTCAGTGTGGCCCCAGGAAGCCAAAAGCTTGGATAACTCAGTTTTAGACCGTGCCTATCTCCCCCTCCCTGCTCTTTTAGGACCAGATGGCCTTCGAGGATGTGGCTGTGTACTTCTCCCAGGAGGAGTGGGGGCTCCTGGACACAGCCCAGAGGGCCCTGTACCGCCGCGTGATGCTAGACAACTTCGCACTTGTGGCCTCACTGGGTAAGGCCCTGGATACTCCATCACATGGGCTATTGATGACAAACTGACTGGCCAGGACTGCCCCCTCACCTCCTTGGTGGCTGAGGAGCAGGCCCTTCTTGCAGCCAGGGGCCATGTGGAATGATAGGGGGCTGGTCCTGTAGACATGCAATCTGGTTGGCTCAACCACTCCCTGTGGCCCTGTCCAGCTGTGGCCTCTCCGTGCCTGGGCTCAGTCCCCTTCCTTTGGTGTTCTGGGCACAGTTACTGCCCTGGCGATGAATGAGCTATTCCTGTGATACCCTTGCCCTGTACCATCTTTAGAATTCTCCTGGTTGCACAGATGACGTTTTCTATTTCCATGAAGCCCTGTCTCCTGCCCTCTGTTGGGAGGTGGGTTGTCTTGAGCTGGGGCTGGACTCTAACCTGCACCACCTCCTCACAGGACTCTCCACCACTCGACCTCGTGTGGTCATCCAGCTCGAGCGTGGCGAGGAGCCCTGGGTTCCTAGTGGAACGGACATGACCATGTCCAGGAACGCCCACAGGAGGCGCAACCCTGGTGAGTGGGAGCTCAGGGTGGGGTGAACTTGGTACCAACCTGTCGCCATGCCTCTGTCCCTGCTTCCTATACTCCCAAGAAGCACCCTCCTCACCTACCTCCCACCCGATTCACTTCTCTTTCATCATCAGCCTCTCCTGGAGGCTGCAGCCTTAGCTGCCCTTGAAGGGGGAGCTCCAAGGGCACAGAAGCTGGGTTGACACAGAAGGGGCCTCAGGCTACGGTGAGACCAGCTCAGAGTCCTGCCATCAGCTGGGCTGTGCGGCTTCAAACCCTCCATGGCCTAGTCACTGCCATGATTAATGGGCCATTTCTTTGTTTTTGTTTTTTGAGACGGAGTTTCACTCTTGTTACCCAGGCTGGAGTGCAATGGCACGATCTTGGCTCACCACAACCTCCGCCTCCTGGGTTCAGGCAATTCTCCTGCCTCAGCCTCCTGAGTAGCTGGGATTACAGGCATGCGCCACGATGCCCAGCTAATTTTTTGTATTTTTGTAAAAGTGGGGCTTCATTACGTTGGTCAGGCTGGTCTTGAACTCCTCAACCCAGGTGATCCTCCTGCCTCAGTCTCCTTAAGGGTGGGGATTACAGGCGGGAGCTACCCCACCAAGCCAACCTTCTTGGATTTTAGAACCTTCTTGGATTTTAGAGCCATCGTGCTCAGCTCCACCTTTTTTTTTTTTTTTTTTTTGAGACGGAGTTTCGCTCTTGTTACCCAGGCTGGAGTGCAATGGCGCGATCTCGGCTCACCGCAACCTCCGCCTCCTGGGTTCAGGCAATTCTCCTGCCTCAGCCTCCTGAGTAGCTGGGATTACAGGCACGCGCCACCATGCCCAGCTAATTTTTTGTATTTTTAGTAGAGACGGGGTTTCACCATGTTGACCAGGATGGTCTCGATCTCTCGACCTAGTGATCCACCCACCTCGGGCTCCCAAAGTGCTGGGATTACAGGCGTGAGCTACCGCGCCCGGCTTTTTTTTTTGAGACGGAGCTTCGCTCTTGTTACCCAGGCTGGAGTGCAATGGCGCGATGTCGGCTCACCACAACCTCCGTCTCCCGAGCTCCAGCGATTCTCCTGCCTCAGCCTCCTGAGTACCTGGGATTACAGGCATGTGCCACCATGCCCAGCTAATTTTTGTATTTTTAGTAGAGACGGGGTTTTACCATGTTGACCAGGATGGTCTCGATCTCTTGACCTTATGATCCACCCGCCTCGGCCTCCCAAAGTGCTGGGATCATAGGCATGAGCCACTGCGCTCAGCCAATGGGCCATTTCTTTAACCCATCATTCATCTTTGTGTTCAGCAAATGTTTCCTGAGTGCTCACAGTGGCCAGGTCCATTCCAGGCAATGTAGACAAAACCTCAACCAGGCCGATCCTGGTCCTGGTTTTGTGGGGCTTGGGTGTCGTGGGAGAGGCTGTCGGTAAGCAGCATTCAGGAGTACAATCTAGGCAGGCGTCCCCAAACTACGGCCCACGGGCCACACGCGGCCTCCTAAGGCCATTTATCTGGCCCCCCGCTGCACTTCAGGAAGGGGCACCTCTTTCATTGGTGGTCAGTGAGAGGAGCACAGTATGTGGTGGCCCTCCAATGGTCTGAGGGACAGTGAACTGGCCCCCTGTGTAAAAAGTCTGGGGACGCCTGATCTAGAGCATTGGCTGGAGGCCATTGCAAGAGCAGGCTAGGGAGTGGGTGCCCGAGAGGGGGGCACCAAGGGAGAAGGTGGTGAGCAATGGAAAGGGAGTGGGCGGAACAGCCAGTGTAGAGATGTACAAGGCACACAGCAGCTGCAGTTTCCCTCAGCCCCACATCCTTGGTGTCTGGGGGCTGCCGCCTTGATCATGGGAGTTCCCACTGCAGTCAGTGTCACACCTGTCAGGGCAGATGCTTTCCCCAAACCTCCAGGGCCAGCCTCGCCTCTACTTTTCCCCTAAGCTTTTGTGCCAGCCCCCACCTTCCCTTTTGCATGTCCACTCAGCCTACCCTGGTCCTCTGCTAACCAGGATGTCCCAGGCAACCACCGTTTCTCTACCTTCAGGTTCCTGGAGTTTGGCAGAAGATGGAGATGTTTCTGGAGAAGCAGCAAGGCATCGGGCTTTTCCAGATACCCTACCCATAATGACTACTAGCGTATTCCCTGTTGCCGGTGCCTGCCACAGTACAGAAGGCCTGCAGCAACAACGGGGTGCCTCCCCATCTCGGGAGAGAAAACCCACGGGGGTGTCGGTGATATACTGGGAGAGGCTCCTGTTAGGCTCAGGCAGTGGGCAAGCCAGCATCAGCCTGCGACTGACGTCCCCGCTCAGGCCTCCTGAGGTTGGCCAGCTTAGGGAAGAGACCCTCACAGAGCACCCGGTGCCTGGGAGGCAGCCCAGGACGCCTGAGCGGCAGAAGCCATGTGCACAAGAGGTCCCTGGGAGAGCCTTTGGGAACGCCCTGGACCTGGAGGCTGCCAGCAGTCAGGGGGATCACGGAATGAGTTCGGCTTGGCAGGAGCCTCAGAGGCTCCTCGGTGGCCAGGAGCCCTCGACCTGGGATGAGCTGGGCGAGGCTCTCCACGCTGGGGAAAAGTCCTTCGAATGCAGGGCGTGCAGCAAAGTGTTCGTGAAGAGCTCCGACCTCCTCAAGCACCTACGCACCCACACCGGGGAGCGGCCCTACGAGTGCTCCCAGTGCGGCAAGGCCTTCAGCCAGACGTCGCACCTGACGCAGCACCAGCGCATCCACAGCGGCGAGACGCCCTACGCGTGCCCCGCGTGTGGCAAGGCCTTCAGGCACAGCTCCTCACTGGTGCGGCACCAGCGCATCCACACGGCTGAGAAGTCCTTCCGCTGCTCCGAGTGCGGCAAGGCCTTCAGCCACGGCTCCAACCTCAGCCAGCACCGCAAGATACACGCGGGCGGGCGTCCCTATGCCTGTGCACAGTGTGGCCGCCGCTTCTGCCGCAACTCGCACCTGATCCAGCACGAGCGCACGCATACGGGCGAGAAGCCCTTCGTGTGTGCGCTCTGCGGTGCCGCCTTCAGCCAGGGCTCCTCGCTGTTTAAGCACCAGCGTGTGCACACGGGCGAGAAGCCCTTCGCTTGCGCACAGTGCGGCCGTGCCTTTAGCCACAGCTCCAACCTGACCCAGCACCAGCTCCTGCACACGGGCGAGCGGCCCTTCCGCTGCGGGGACTGTGGCAAGGCCTTCGCGAAGGGCGCTGTGCTGCTGAGCCACCGGCGCATCCACACGGGCGAGAAGCCCTTCGTGTGCACGCAGTGTGGTCGCGCCTTCCGTGAGCGCCCAGCCCTCTTCCACCACCAGAGGATACATACTGGTGAGAAGACCGTCCGGCGATCCAGGGCCAGCCTGCAGCCCCAGGCCAGGTCTGTTTCTGGGGCATCATCAGAAGGTGCGCCAGTGAAGGAAAGCGAACCCGCTCCCGCCTTGGGCCCAGCCGCAGTCTCCGATCCAGCGGAGGTCTGAGGTCACAGGTTGCAGCCCTGGCCTTCTGTGAATCCCTTCCGCAGCTAAAGGGCATATGTCCTCTGCAGATCCACAGCAGAGAAAAAGCCTTGTACTTGCTAGTCAGGGACGAGGGAGCTCCTTCGGCTGTGATTTCATTTGCACGTGGGGACAGAATTTGCCAGTATCTGCATCCACAAAGAAGTAGCACGGTAGAAACATCAGCAGGAGGACATGGTGGCTGAAACTCTAGTGGGGCCGGTACTATTCAGAATCAGTAGGAGGCCGACAGTCACAGCGCTGCTGCAATACCGTACTGCTTCATAGCGCTGCAATACCGTACTGCTTCATGTGTTATGACAGTGGGTGCTAAGGTGAGGGGCATGCGGACATAGGTTGTGTGACCCAAAGAAACTTAACCACCACACAAACTAGCTGCTGGATAGATGCCGAGGCATTCTCCTACCCCCGCCCCCACCCGTTACCACTGCCTCTGTTCATCCAAGGCTTCCTAGGGGCCAGCCCAGCAGACAGGAGACCACAGGTGATGGGATCAAGGTGTGGGCTCAGAGTGTCAGCCACCGCCTCTGGGAAAAAGAAAGGTTTGGGTCTACCAAACATGTTTTCAGATACTGACAGGTGGGGTCCTAATGAGAGCCAACATGTGCTCACCGTCGGCTCCTGTCCTAAGTGCTGGGAAATTTCTCTTGAAGCCCTGAGAGATGGCTGCTGTGGCTGGTATCCCCCCTTGGAAGATGAGGAAGCAGGCACAGAGGCGGAGGTGAGCTGCCACGGCACACAGCAGAGCTGGCACCCAAGCCCAGGTGGACTGACCCAGCGTCCAGATACCTCATCTCCTGGGCTGCAGTCTGGCCAGGTGTGAGGGCCTGTCCTGGCTTCACACACACAGCAGACTCAGGATAGGGATGCCCATGGGGGAACATGTGGCTCTCAGCATTGGAAGGACAGAGCTACGACAATGGCTTTCCAGTGGCACTTGCTCAGGTTTTGGTCCAAGTCTCAGCTTGGCCAAGGCCTGTCACTGACCCGTTTACCAAAATGGATGTGATGAGGAGCCTTTACTTCTGAGGGGACAAGATGGAGCTGCTCATTTTTGCTGGGTTTGGTGGCCACTTCCCCCTCACACCCCCGTCTCACCTTACCCCCATTATCCCTCCTCAGTTGGAGGCTGGACAGAGAACTGAATACGGACGACTTGCCGTTACCTAAGGCCATGCGTGACATCCTCCTGAGGACCTCCCCACCCCAGTGTAATGGCCCTGCATGGCAGGAACAGAAGGGTGGACTGGGGGCCATTTGCTTCCTGTGGCCTTCAGCAGACCAGGCCCTGTCCCTACCTGGAGCATCACCTCCAAGGAAATTCAAGGTCTCTTTAATGGAAAAAAAAAAAAAGACTAGCATCTGCAACTCGGAGTAGGTGCTGCAGTTTCCTGTACAGCAGTTTGGGCTGCTACAGCACAGCTTCTTGTCCCTACTCCAGAGCATGGTTCAGTTTTTAATAACAGTTCAAAGAGCTTCTCTGATAAAGCTTTCTTTTTAAACATTTGTGTGAACAGTAGCAACCCAACACCCATTTCACCCTTATACAATGCAGATGATATTGAACATACCCTGACATGCCATCAGCGTGTGTCATCGTCACAGAAGTTCCTGGACTTGGCTTCAACCTGGGCACCCTCAAGAGGCCAGAGTAGAGATGCAGCCTGTCTGCGGTCCAGTGAGGGAGTGGGATACCTGTATCCTTTTCAGGGCCAGAGGTGGGTGGGGGAGCCAGAAGCGGGATAAAGTGGGATGGGGTGGGGCTGCCTGGAGCAGCAGCTCTGTTAGGTGATGAGTCCTGGTGGATCCTGCTGATGGGATGATGGTAGGTGGAGAAGCCAAAGCAGGGCTGTGTTCCCCTGCTGCTGAGATAGAGGGTGTGGCCACGTGTGATGACCCTGCAAGGCTGACTCCAGACCAGTGGTCGCTCCATCCCATGGCTTCCAAAGCCTTGCAGCGATCCCACTCTATACACAAAGAGCAGAAACTCAGGCCCCACCCACTTGATATTCCACCTGTGAAACCTCACAGGTTCCTGCAGGGAGTGGAGACATGCAGGACCCAGCTCTCCCGGAGCCTGCCAGACTTGGACCTCCCGGATCCCAGTAAGTCCCCGAACCACTGTCCCCCACTAAGTCGGCAGAGCTGTGAAATGCAGACAACCCTTCCCTGTCTGAAAGAGGATTTTTCTGGGGAGGCCATGGGAGTCAGGAGCAGAAGCATCTGTCAAACAAGTGGATACCCAGAGAGTCACATGAAATCGTTTCTGTGCCTTTGACAGACACTGAAGTTTCTGCCCTGAGCCCGCCTGACGCCTTAGGCTGGGCTCAGTGCCCTACCTTGTCTTCCCACCAGCTCTTCCCTCCAACGGGCTCCTTTCCACATCTGCTTGTGTCCCTGTTGTCTCTCAGTTTGTCCACCCTCCTCCAATCTTGCCCTCCCTAAACCCATGACTGGTCGGTGGCCCCCAACTTGGGCTCCCGCCTCCACCCAGGTCTTGGCCCCTTAGCTGATCTCCATCCAGCCTCCCCCTCTGCTCTTAATACTGAATAGGCAGTGACTGTAAAAAGTGTCCCTGGGCTTCTAGGTCAAAAGGTCTGTCAAAAGGTCAGACCGAACACATAACATCTCACTGGACTTAGAATTCCACTGAAACCACAGAGGGGAGCATTTAAAACACAAATCAAGGCCGGGCGCGGTGGCTCACGCCTATAATCCCAGCACTTTGGGAGGCCGAGGCGGGTGGATCACAAGGTCAAGAGATCGAGACCATCCTGGTCAACATGGTGAAACCCCGTCTCTACTAAAAAAATACAAAAAATTAGCTGGGCATGGTGGTGCGTGCCTGTAATCCCAGCTACTCAGGAGGCTGAGGCAGGAGAATTGCCTGAACCCAGGAGGCGGAGGTTGCCATTGCACTCCAGCCTGGGTAATAAGAGTGAAACTCCGTCTCAAAAAAAAATAAATAAATAAAACACAAATCAGCAAGTATGAGGATGGTGAAAGATGAGTCAGCAGCAACGGCATTCCTAAGCTAGAAGTGGATGGGAGCTGTCACTAAGTTAGGGAAGGCCATATACTGCGTGGCCACTTGGGGAAGTGGAGAGAGTTCCCACCCGGCTGATGGCAAAACAGCAGAAGGCTGAGAGAACCAGCAGCCCGGATACGGGAGACCTATAACAAAGCTGCCTGGGGAACAGCTACTGAAGAACCCCTTAATGACCCAATGCTCTCCCCACCTGGTGGAGGGTAAAAGTTTGTTTGTTTGTTTTTTTCTCCTGGGAATCTGCACAGCCCCAGACAAAAGGTCTAAGCACCCCATCCCCAAAAACAACCTGAGGAGGCCTCTGGAAAGCTCAGAGTTGACAAGTCCCACCATGCATGTGCTCAGTGCTTCCAATCTGTGATTAAGACCATTGCTCTGCATCCAGAGCAGGCAGCAGAGATTGCCAAGTATCCAAAGAAACCAAAACAGGTGGTGTAATTTACGACTGATAATAAGTCATGGCTCGGCCATTTAAAGTGTGGAAGCAAAACTGATCCCACAGATTTAGAAAACTGTAACATTGCTTATTGGGAGAAACTAGTGGCACCCTGCCTAGTTCTCCCCAAATTAAATAAAAGGTAAATAAACGGTTGAGCAAGTCCCATCAGCCTGGAGGGAAACCTCCGCCCCCGACTTTGCAGGGCTGACATCCGAAGACGTCAGAGACAGCGGTCACAACCGTCGGAACCTCTTCAGGGTCGCTGTTGCCCCCTCGTGACCGCAGGGCGCTTAACAGAGGCCAAAGAAGCCCCCTGCACCCTCCAGGAGGGAGAAAGCCCAAGCTCAGGTGGTCGTCCACACCCGACCCCGGCTCTCCCGGGACCACTTGGAAAGAGTCACAGCGAACTACTCGACCCAGGAGACCACTGGGCCACCATTTCCGGCCTCCTCGGAAGTCGAGGCAACGCTCCTGACGTCATGAGAGCAGCTGGAGGCTGGCGGATATGCCCGGCCCGTTATCTGGTGGCTGGTCGAGCGGAATGTCGTGGGGGCGGGGCCGGGCAAGCGCCACCTCTCGTTGGGCAAAACCTCCCGCCTCTCCCCTCACCTGCCAATAGGAACCGGGCCACTATACAGACGCGCAGGCTCATAACATGGGACGGGAGAGCTGCTCCCAGAGCGGAGGGAGCCCATGTAACTCTGGAACACTGCGACACCTCCTGGAGGAACAGAGCGCCTCTCAGGCGTCAGAGGCCTCTGCAAATGCGAGTCCGGGGGCCGCGGTCCCTTCCGCGTTTGCTGACGCTCATGGGAAACGTAGTTTAAAGGGCGTGGGCCGTCCCTCCGGTGCAGGCGCGGGATTGGTCCGTGCGGCGTCGCCGGGGCAACACCCGGGCTGCGCGGCGCCACTTCCGGGAAGCGGCCTCCCAGCGACGGCTCCGGGGCAGAGGTGAGCGCAGGCTGCCTGAGCGGGGCGCGGCCTTCCTACCCGGTGGGAGGGTTTGGGGCCGCCCTCGGGCCTGCAGGCCCCCGGCTCCCGGCGCCCTGCGGGGCCCGCCCACCTCCCCGCCGGCCGCGCGCGTCACCGCAGCCTCCGCGCAGGCCTTTTCGGGTGTCGAGGCCGGACGCGTCTGTTCTCTTCCCCTTTGGGGGATAGGTCCCGGAGTTCGGGCATCCTTCGGACGGGCTGGTGTCAGGCTGGGCTCCCAGGCCGCTCCGGGCGGCCGTGTTTCACGCCGGACCTCCGGGGCCTTGGCTCCGTTTTTCTTGTTCGTCGCTTTTCGTTTTTCCACGCGTGGGCCCAGGCCGCTGTGGTCAGCGAGCGCGGTGTCCACATCAGCCCGGACCTGCCGTGTAGGCCCCCCGGGATCGCTCCCCAGAGCCCTTCAGTCGGCATCCCCGAGATCGTGGAGGGAGGCTCGCCCCCGTACATGACAGCCTGGCTCCACCTTCTACCTGCTCACCCTGGCTCACGGCCCCACTCGCCCAGCTGCCCACGCCCCTCTCACCTCTGCTCAGCACCGCCTGGGGCTCCCCAGCCTGGCCCTGGAACCCTGCGACGATTGTCCTTATCCACCTCTTTACCGTCATCTTCCAGCAGCCCCCTGTTGGACCCAACTGTTTGCAATTTCCTGGAAGCTCCCTGGACACCTTGCCTCCAAGGATTTGTCCCCAAGGCTTCCTCCGGCTCTCACTTGCCATCATTATTTAGCTCCTGTGACCCTTATCTTTCCATGAAGCTTCTTGGCCTTACCTCCTCTGACCTCAGAGTATACTTGGTCCTGGTCTCAGCCCCCTGGATTGGGCCTCGTGTCTGCCTTCCCCTGGCCAGATTCTCTTGGCTGACACTTGGACCCTTCCTTTTCTGTAGACCCGTCTTAACGACTCCAAGACACCCCCTTGAAAAAGAATGCCATCCCCTCTGGGTCCCCCATGCCTGCCCCTCATGGACCCAGAGACCACCCTCGAGGAGCCTGAGACTGCCCGCCTCCGCTTCCGAGGGTTCTGCTACCAGGAGGTGGCAGGTCCCCGAGAAGCCCTGGCCCGGCTGCGTGAGCTGTGTCACCAGTGGCTGCAGCCTGAGGCACACTCCAAGGAGCAGATGCTGGAGATGCTGGTGCTGGAGCAGTTCCTGGGCACACTGCCTCCTGAGATCCAGGCCTGGGTGCGAGGTCAGCGGCCAGGCAGTCCTGAGGAGGCTGCTGCCCTGGTCGAAGGACTGCAGCATGACCCTGGGCAGCTGTTGGGCTGGGTGAGTGTGGCCGGCATCAGCTTCTTGGAGGGACAGACCCAGGCTAGAGCCCTTGTGACTGACTTCTTCTCCTCAGATCACAGCCCATGTCTTGAAGCAGGAGGTGCTCCCTGCAGCCCAGAAGACAGAGGACTCACTGGGGAGTCCCCACCCCTCAGGGACAGTGGAGTCCCCTGGGGAGGGTCCCCAGGACATCAGAATAGAGGGGTCTGTCCAGCTCAGCTGCAGTGTGAAGGAGGAGCCCAATGTTGATGGACAGGAAATGGGTGAGGTTGGGGTCCCACCAGAGATGAGCACCTCCTGGAAGAAGTGTGGACATTCCTGGCTCGGGTGGGAGTCCCGGGAGAGGCGTGTCAAGGCTGGGACTCTTGAAATGAATGCGGATGTCCCCGTCTGGGATGGGGACCTGGGAGGCAGGAGCAAAGGGCTGGCTACTTGCTGCGTCACACAGCAGAGGAGTTCCTCATTTGCCATGGCTCTTCTGGGCAGCCTCTGACACCAGCCTCCCATCTGCCCCACTTTCCAGCACCCTCCAGCCCTCTACTTGCAGCTCAGTCCCCTGAGGGGCACCATGGACACCAAGAACCAGCCTCTACCTCCTTCCACCCACCCAGGATTCAGGTAAGCAGCTCCAGGTGGGAAGTGTAGGCCAGAGGTGTGGGAAGGGAGTGTCCCCATGGCTGCCCTTTGCCCTGTGGTTTTGCAGGCTCCTTGGCTAGTGGCTCTTTGCTGCCCAGAAGTGGAGTGTGTAGCAGTCGTACCCCCGACAGGACCTGGGGCACAGGGACAGACTGGTGATCTATTATTGAAACGATTTGGGGCAGGGCAAGGTGGCTCATGTCTGTAATCCCAGCACTTTGGGAGGCCGAGGTGGGCAAATCACCTCAGGTCAGGAGTTCAAGACCAGCCTGGCCAACATGGTAAAACCGTGTCTCTGCTAAAAATACAAAAATTAGTCGGGTATGGTGGCATGTGTCTGTAATCCTAGCTACTAGGGAGGCTGAGGCAGGAGAATCGCTTGAACCCAGGAGGCAAAGGTCAAAGTGAGCCAAGATCACACCACTGCACTCCAGCCTGGGCGACAAGAGCAAAACTCCATGTCAAAAATCAAAAATAAAAGGATTTGGGCCTCCAGCCATGGAAACCCAGTTTAGAGTGGCTGGAACTAGTAGGCATGGCTTTCTCACCTCCAGAGAAGTCAGTTGGGAGGTATGCTGCTCCCAGAGGTCCTGAGCCAGAACCTGGGGATTTGAGCTTTTGTGTATAGATGGGGAGGGGAGAAGACCAGCTGTGGTGGGATTCCCCCAACACCTGAAACAGATGGAGACTCTTCCTGTAAAATGCCCAAAGCCCCTTCTCTCCTAGGGGTTTCCTCAGAGGTGACCTGTTGGGCCTGGAAGCTCAGCTTGACGTCTCTGCTACTGGATCACTTGGTTTCCAAGTGTGGGTAGCGAGCCCTTTTCCTCTCGTCTCCTCTGCTTCTGAGCCACTCCACTGGGGAGCTTCAGCAGCAGAATTGCTGGTTGAGATGTGCTTCAAGGTGGAGAAGTCTTTCCAGGCTCCCTTCACAACCCCATGGCACAGTCAGAAAGTGAGGAGAGCGGCTAGGCTACCCTTTCCACAGGGTCCTCACCTCCAGCCACCACCATCCATGTCCAGCTGTGGCTCCTCACAGCTGCTGCTCTCGTGCCCCTGGACTTGCCACAGCTTGTCTTGGAGGATTATTTTTCCCGACCCAGTAAAGCCCCAGGTGATGGGACTCAGGTGACAAGGAGGGCGGACTCCCAGGCAGAGAGTTCACTACTTGATAAAGTCATTCAGGTCCCTTTGATGCTGCCAAACCCACCCTCTCAGCAGGGTGGGGTAGTTGGGGGGATGAGTGCTGGCAACAGCATTGGTCAGGTGATCTGAAGGAGGACCCCAGCACTTACGAACACCTACCTCAAGATCATTCTCAGCTAGAGGGGCCGATGAGGTGTAGGTAACCTGCTGGCTCCCCCAGGTAATAATGTGAACCAGACATGGCAAGGGAGGGTGGCAGGGTGCCTACAGTGATGGGCCACGTCCGCAGGAGGAGTGGGGGCTGCTGGACCGCTCACAGAAGGAACTGTACTGGGACGCGATGCTGGAGAAGTACGGCACGGTGGTCTCCCTGGGTGAGGACCAGCCAGCCCCACCCCGCCCCTCTCCCTGGGGCCTGCACCCATCCTGCAGCAGGCCTAGCTGGGCAGGGCCTCTGTGGTACCAGCCCTACCCAGCTCTCTCACCTTCCAAAGGGACACCTGTCACCTGTTGGAACCCACCCTACCCCTCCTTCATGCAAACCCCTCGCCTGACTGTGCCTCCCACCCGGGCAGGGTTACCACCCCACCAGCCGGAGGCACAGGCCCAGTCGGAGTTGGGGATGCTGCTCACGGGGGCAGGCGTCTGCAGAAACATGGGCTCAGGTGAGTGCCCCACACCGTGCAGCCTGAACCACTCCTCCTGGATGGGTGGGTCCTGAGTCACACGGTACGATCTTGTGCCGCAGCCACAAGCCTGAGGGATGGGTGGGCGGCATCACAAGTGCAGAGTGCGGGGACTCACCTGGTCTGCCCCTGCCCCCAGGAGATGAGAATGAGGGTCTGCCGGGCTGCCCAGAGGCCCAGCCACCCCAGGGCCCGGGTCCTGCGGCCTGGGATGGCCCATCTGGGGCCACAGCTCCTGCCCCCACTGCGCGCCCAGGGACACCACCAGCGCCGGCCACGCCCACACCCACAGAGACGCGACTGGAGCCGGGCGCCACCCCCAGGAAGCCCTACATGTGCGAGCAGTGTGGCCGCGGCTTTGATTGGAAGTCAGTGTTTGTCATCCACCACCGGACACACACAGGCAGGCCAGGTTCTCAGTCCCCAGGGCTAGCCACTGGCGAAGGCACAGAGAAACCGCCACAAGGGGAGCTGGCCTTTCCGCGACACCCGCGACGGTCACTCGCAGGCCCCCAGAGTTACCCATGCGAGGAGTGCGGGTGCAGCTTCAGCTGGAAGTCGCAGCTGGTCATCCACCGCAAGAGCCACGCGGGCCAGCGGCGCCACTTCTGCAGTGACTGCGGCCGCGCCTTCGACTGGAAGTCACAGCTGGTCATCCATCTTAAGAGTCACCGGCCGGAGGCTCCGTGAGCAGCCAGACGGTGCAGTCCCTCAGGGCCTCCGTGTTTTCAGAGCCTGGAAGCAGCCTCTGGGGCACCAGCAGAAGACTCTGGAGGCAGCAGGGGATGCTGGAGTGAACAAGGGGTCCCAAGCCAGTCCCCTTCCCCTGGGCTGCCTTCCCCCAAAAGACCTGGGTGTAAGGAAAAGGAGCTGCTTCCTCCCTTCTTGCCCCTTCCTCCTGGAGGGAAGTCTGGGTTCCCTTCTATGACTGGCCAGTGCCTGTGGGGTGACTGGCAAGCATCAGGCTCCCTCCCTTCCTGAGTCACGGCCCAGGCTGACAACACTCCCTCTCCTGAGACCTCCTTGCCTCAGGTAGGTGTTCAAAAACTGTGCCTTCCTACCCCTCTGTGCAGAGGCTGGGTTTGAGGTCTCAGTGTGGAGGGCAGCAGAAGACCCAGGAAAGCAAGGTTGGCTTCTGTTTCTCCTGCTCCGTGTGTGTGTTAGAATTTTAACATAAATTCCACTTTCATAATACAGAGTTTCTCAATAAGGATCCTGATTTCTGGGCCGGGCACTATGGCTCATGCCTGTTATCCCAGCATTCTGGAAGGCTGAGGTGGGCGGATCACCTGAGGTCAGGAGTTCAAGACCAGCCTGGCCAACATGGTGAAACCCCACCTCTACTAAAAATACAAAAATTAGCCGGGTATGGTGGCACGTGCCTGTAAGCCGAGCTACTTGGGAGGCTGAGACGAGAATCCCTTGAACCTGGGAGGCAGAAGTTGCAGTGAGCTGAGATTGTACCATTGCAATCTAGCCTGGGCAACAGAGCAAGACTCTTGTCTCAAAAAAAAAAAAAATAATAATAATAATAATAATAATCTACAGGGCAGCTGAGACCAGAAAGGCCAAACCTCTGTTGCCACAGATCTCCAGCCTCCCTTTCTCCTTGGCTGCCCACGTCACTCACCCAGCTTCACTGGTCTTAGAACTCGTCACTCCTGGCTTCAGTAGACATGAAGGGAATTTCCTTCTCAAGCATAGCTACCTACCGTGCATCTGGGAAGGCAAGCTGGAGGAGCAGCAAGGGCGACCAGCCTGACATCTGCTGCTATGTTCATCCAACTTCAGGCTCACTTCTTGGCCAGGGTCCCTCCTGAAGGAAATAGGAATGCGACTGAACTTGAGAACCTAGCTACAGGAGGAGGAAGCCCAGATGGGGTCATCCCACAGGGATAGCTGAAGTTCCTGGTGGGAAAGCAAGAAAGACTCCCAAAATAAGGTCTTTGGGACACTAGCCCCTGCACTTCCCCACTGTTCTTTCATTGGCAGACACACAGACTTCTGTGAACACAGCTGATACCAAGGCCTTGGTATCCACTTGTCCCTGCCTACTGTTCCCCAAGAGGGGCAATGCCTGGGCCTATGCTATGTTCACACAGCTCTAGCTCCCTTCCTGGTCAGGGTCTCTCCTGGAGCAAAGAGGAATATGAATGAACTGGACCACCTACTGTGTGCAGGGGAGGACCACAATGGCCTGGACCCAAGTCCAGGTTTATGAAAGGGCTAGGGCTCTTCAGAGAGCAAGTGGGGCAGAGAAATAGCAAGTCACAACAACTGTCACTTCACAGAAGATAATTACAGTGCACGGCCACCACCAGTGATGAACAGATTCTCATAGTGGGACCCAAACGGAAATGACTACAGACTCTAAGGGTACTGTCTCAGCTCCAGGCTGTAGGGCTGACAGAAAGAGCCCCAAATGCTACCAGGAACTCTGTGAAGCCCAGCTGCCCCACAGCCCAGATGGGGTGCTGCCTGTGTTCTCCCTTCCAAGGCTAGTTCTGTCCTCACAGTGGCCCATAGCACGAGGAGGAGGCCGAGGCACAGGAGAGTGCAGTATCGTGCCAAACTCCTATTGACTCTAGGGGGGATGGCACCAGGTTCCAGAGGCAGAAGAAGAGACCAAGAGCCAGCAAATAAGGTAATAGGGTTTATTGGGGGCTTAGATACAGGGGAGAGTCCAGGGACAGTGGACTGAGCAGGAGAACTATTTGCAGAAAGCCTGCGGTGCCTCACACCTGTAATCCCAGCACTTCGGGAGGCCAAGGCGGGTGGGTCACAAGGTCAAAAGATGGAGACCATCCTGGCCAACATGGTGAAACCCTATCTCTACTAAAATATAAAAAATTGACCTGGCAGGGTGGGGTGCACCTGTAGTCCCAGCAGGAGGCTGAGGCAGGGGAATCACTTGAACCCAGGAGGTGGAGGTTACAGTGAGCTGAGACTGTACTCCAGCCTGGCAACAGAGCAATACTTTGTCTCAAAAAAAAAAAAAAAAAAAGGCAGTTTATGTAGCATTTTCATTTAACACTCTCCCCTCGGCAACGTTCATTTAACTGAAAGCAAAAGGCCAGGATCCCTTGCACCACCAGCGTTCCATGGGACAAGGCCAAAGGCTCAGGTGTTCCTCAGAAGTAAGGAATGATCTCTGAGTTGGACATTCCCAGATTCCTTAGCCAGGAAATGTGAATGGCACTCAGATGCATCTGCCACATAGGGCCATTCTCAGGTATGCTTGAGCCATTGCCAATGGGCGTGTGTACTGTGCACACAAGGGATGGGCAGGTCACAGCCTGCAGCACTGCCCACCAATGGCCCCTTACTGCTGTGGGGTTCCTTTTGCCACCATCATTGCCCCAGATGTGCTCCCAAAGTTAACCCATGGAGCACTGGCCCGGCACCACCACAATTGTTCCTGTGACTGCAGCCTAACCTGTAGTTCCTTCTAAGCTCCAAGAAGCACTTATGGCCTTTGAGCCAGAGGCTCAGCACCCATACACTCCTACCTACATCTCCACTATGCTTCGAGTAGCACAGCCAACTCCTGAGACTCTGCAGACTCCCATTTTCCAGAGGCCTCTGCTCCTGCTGCGCCCCACCTGCTAAACTTGCCCCAGGGCCTTTGTATGTGCTGTTTACACTGCCAGGGACACCACTACGCCAGTTACTTCCTGCTTGGCCTTCTAGCCACAGTCCAGCACCCTCCAGGCTTTGTCAGATCGTGTATCCATAGCACGATACAGGGGAATTATCCACATCCACTGGCCCACTGTGACCCAGGCCCAGCCACCGCTTCAGTGGCCACAGAAGACCCACAGAGGGAATCAGGATTTTCATCTCTGCATTAGAGTGGCTGTGAGGGTGGCCAGCTCCTCCCTTACCCGTGGCCTTAGACAGGGTCATCCCACAGCAAAGGCTGGGGTTCCTGGCTGGGAGACAGGGAAGACCCTCAAGTAAGGTCTTCAGGGCACTAGCCCCTGCACTCCTCCATTGATCCTTCATCCATGCAGACATGCAGACATACAGACTACTGTGAACACATTTGAGTTTATTCTGCCACTGCTACAGGGCCCACTGCCGTTTCCAGCCCGCTGAGGCTGAGGATATGGCCAGGCTGGGATTGACGTAGGCCCGTGATGAAAGTGACACCGAGTGTGTTGGGGTGGGGGTGGCCGGCTTTGATCCTTGCCCCTGTGGGTTGGCCAGGTGGTCAGATCCTCCAGGTTCCCTCACACACAGCCTGGTACATTTCTGCCGTCAGGGGCCGGAAGGACTGGGCCTGGTTGTCCAGTATAAACAGAGGGTCAATCACGACCGCTACGTTAAAGCCCTCACGCACCAATCGGGTCTTCACCAGTTTGAACGTGCTCGTGACCTCCACAGCGTCCTGCAGGGCAGTGATCATAGTCCCCTCACTGTGACACCCATCCCCCCGCTGTGATCTTCCACCCACCTACCTTGCCACCCTGGGCTCACCTGGATGCGGATGAAATGGGGGGTGGCGTAGGCAGGGAGCCAAGCGCGAACGTGCCGGTACAACTTCTGCCCGTCGAAAGTATGGCCGGGGGCTAGCTGCACGGCAGCCATGCCCACCTTACCCTCACACCCTAGGAAGCAGTCCGGTCACTCTCGGCTAACCCATCTCGAGGGCCCATAGCTGACTCTCCCGCCCCGCCCAGCTCTGCTCCCTGGCGGTGAGGTCCGGCGAGTCGGACCTAGCGCTTCCCCACCGGTAAAATCGCAGTAACTACCCTCCACCCCCAAAGCTGTTTGAAGCTTAAAATGAGAACCCTCCGCACCTGGCACACACACGCCATACACGTTCACCTGCTGCAGGAAGTCCACCTGCGACAACACGCCCTCCACCTCGCGCGTGGACACGTTCTCGCCCTTCCACCTGCAGGGTTGGAGCCTGCGCGTGTGGCCACGCCCCCGGCGCGGAGAGGCCCCGCCCCTCCCCGCCCGCCCCGCCCCTTTGGGACCCGCCCCCTCCAAAACCGGGAAGCCTCGCTTCCGCGTGGGAAGTCCTGACCCCAAGCTCCGCCCTCTTGCGGCAGGAAAGTCCCGCCTCTCCAGCCGGCCGCCCTCTGGGACGTGAAAGCTGCCGTGGCCCCGCCCCGGCCCCGCCCCGAGAAACCCCGCTTCGGACCGGAAGGTGTCTCCGAGGCGGTCGCGGAAGTAGAGGAAGCCTTCGTCGTCCATGGCCAGCACGTCCCCGGTGTTGTAGTAAACGTCGCCCGACTGCCGCACGTTGCGCACCAGCTTCCGTTCCGACAGCTCTCGGGGGCCGCGGTAGCCCACGAAGGGATGGCGGCTGGCAACCTTGGTCAGCAGAAGCCCCGACTCCCCTGGGGGTAGGAGCGGGAAGCAGAGCCCCTGGAGCCCACCAGCCAAGCCCCCTGCCGGAGGTTTTCCTCCACGGTGGACTCCTGGTCACCCAGCACCCTGCCGGGACAGCTCCAAAGACAGGCGTGTCCGAGGGTTAGCGAGACAGAGACTCAGAGAGGCCGCGACGAGGGACGCAGACACAGACGGAAGAGAAGGCGGCGCCGGGGAGCCCCGGAGAAACAGCCAAAGGGCCACAGGGGACGGAAGGCGGCCGAGACCAACGGCAGTGAGCGGAGAGGAGACCGGACCGCGCCAGGCCCTGGGAGAAGGCAGTAGCAGAAGGCACGGGGCGGGGGCGGCGCCTGGAAAGCTGTCTTCCGCGGACCGAAGGGAACGCACCGGCCGCACACCCAGAGACCCGGCAGAGCAGAGCGGGAGACACGGCCGGGGAGCGGGGCAGAGCCGGGAGGCTGAGGCGGAGGCCCCGGGTGACGCTAAGACCGGCCACCGGCCGGGGGTCCGGGTGAAGCCTGCGTCCAGTGAGCACCAGGGTCGAGGTTCCGGGCAGACCGTTCCGGCCAAGGAGAAGACTGAGGGTCGCCACCCCTGCCACCGAGGAAGGGCTCCTCAAAACCCATACCTAGCCCTACAGGGATGCAGAAGCCGTGACTGTCCCTCACAGGCTCCTCCGCCACCGTGTCGAACTGCACCAGCTCAAAGGGGGACAGCATCTGCGGTGGAGGGCGGGGGTGTCGACAGAGGCCCCGCGGGCTCAGCCTCGGTCAGGGCGACTTCACGCCGGCCACCCGCACACTCACTCGAAGGAGGCAGCTCATCTTGCCCAGGGCCCCGCAGCGCCCCACATAGTTGACTAAGCCCATGTTGCCTTCCGTGGAGCCGTAGATTTCCCAGATCCGAATAGGACCGAAGCGCTGCTGGAAGGCCTTCCACACATCGGCCCGGAGTCCATTACCCATCGCCAGGCGGACTGTGTGTGTCCGGTCCTCTTGTCGCTACAGGAGTGTCCCCAGAAAGGTGAGGAGGAGGTGCTCTTGGGGCAAGCCTTGGGACCTTTACCTAGAGGCGGTGTCGTCCTGGGTCCTTACCTTGGGAGTTACCTGGAAGGAGCTACCTGGGTTTCTTACATGAGAGTAGTTACTGGAGTCTTTCAAGTACAGGGTTACCTGCAGGGATGACCTGAGAGCTTTGCCTGGGTGAGTTACCGGGGGTGACTGGAGGCCTCATCTGAGGTCTTACCTGGGAGTAGTTACCTAGAACTTTAATTTAGTGGAAATTTAATTTTAATTAATTTATAATGGAAATTCTCATGATAGGGGTAGTGGCTTTGGTGATCCCTGTTTTCCAAATGAGGACGCTGAGGCTCAAGGTAGCACACCTGACTGTCGGAGAAATCACTGTTGGAAACCTTGCGTGGAGCTCATTACCTGGGGTTCTTGCATGGGGTGTATTATCTGAGGGTCGTGGTTGAGTTCAGTGCCTAAATCTTTACCTGAGACCTTTACCTGGGCTATCATTTGGGATTTCATACTTGAGTGTTGTCGGGGAGCCCTGATCTCAGAGCCTCACCTGGGGAGTGTTGCACAGATACCGCAGGAGCTCTCCCACGTACTGGATCACTGTCACGCCATGCCGCCGACAATCATCCCAGAAGCAGGAAGCAGAGAACTTGGGGGCCAGGACACAGGTGGCTCCTGAGGGAGGAGAGGGGCGGGGTTTCGGGCCATGCTTCTCAGTTGTTGTAAGAAGCTGCTTTTAGCACCTGGGTTCACCCACTCCCACGCCCTGGAACAGGACAATACTGAGTTCATCTCTGGGTCCCTGGCCCACACAGGAATGCCCTCATTAATAGAGCATAGGCAGGCCTGGGTTCAAATCCTGTCTCCAGAATGCCTGGAAAGCCCCGTGCCTGGTATAAAATGAGCACTGCTAAATAAGGGCTATAAATATTAATTTTTTCATTTTTATTTATTTGTTTTTGAGACAGAGTTTCGCTCTTGCTGCCCAGGCTGGAGTGCAATGGTGTCATCTCGGCTCACTGCAACCTCCACCTCCAGCGTTCAAGCGCTTCTCCTACCTCACCCTCCCAAGTAACTGGGATTACAAACATGCACCACCACGCCCGGCTAATTTTTTGTATCTTTAGTAGAGATGGGGTTTCTCCACATTGGTCAGTCTGTTCTCAAACTCCCAATTTCAAGTGATCCGACTGCCTTGTCCTCCCAAAGTGCTGGGATTACAGGCGTGGGCCACCACGCCTGGCCTTTTATTTTTATTTTTTAGACAGAGTCTCACTCTGTTGCCCAGGCTGGAGTGCAGTGGCACAATCTCAACTCAATGCAACCTCTACCTCCCAGGTTCAAGAGATTCTCCTGCCTCAGCCTCCCCAGTGGCTGAGATTACAGGTGACCGCCACCACGGCTGGCTTATTTTTCTATTTTTTTAGTGGAGACGGGTGTTTAACCATGTTGGCCAGGCTGGTCTCAAACTCCAGGTGATTTCCCCCGCCTCAGCCTCCCAAAGTGCTGGAATTACAGGTGTGAGCCACCACGTCCGGCCACATTTTTTATTTTTATTTTTACTTGTCACTGACTTAAAGATCAAATTATTCTTTTTTTTTTGAGACGGAGTTTCGCTCATTACCCAGGCTGGAGTGCAATGGCGCGACCTCGGCTCACCGCAGCCTCCACCTACTGGGTTCAGGCAATTCTCCTGCCTCAGCCTCCTGAGTAGCTGGGATTACAGGCACGTGCCACCATGCCCAGCTAACTTTTTGTATTTTCTTTTTTTTTTTTTTTTGAGTCGGAGTTTCGCTCTTGTGACCCAGGCTGGAGTGCAATGGCGCAATCTCGGCTCACCGCAACCTCCGCCTCCTGGGTTCAGGCAATTCTCCTGCCTCAGCCTCCCGAGTAGCTGGGATTACAGGCACGTGCCACCATGCCCAGCTAATGTTTTGTATTTTTAGTAGAGATGGGGTTTCACCATGTTGACCAGGATGGTCTCGATCTCTCGACCTCGTGATCCACCCGCCTCGGCCTCCCAAAGTGCTGGGATTACAGGCTTGAGCCACCGCGCCCGGCCTAATTTTTTGTATTTTTAGTAGAGACGGGGTTTCACTATGTTGACCAGGATGGTCTTGATCTCTTGACCTCGTGATCCACTCGCCTCCGCCTCCCAAAGTGCTGGGATTACAGGCGTGAGCCATCGCGCGCGGCCCTCAAATTATTCTTGATTGTGATAAATGAATGCCCAACTAAGCAGAAGGGTGGGCAGGTGGATGGATATGGTGGGTGGATGGAAATGATTGGGTGGACAGTTAGATTAGTGAATGAATGGATGGATGGGTGGGTGGTGACATGCATAGGCAGGTGGGTAGAAACATGGGTATGTGTAAGGGTGAATGGGTAAGAAAGTAGGTGAGTAGATGGATGGGTGGCTTGGTGGATGTATGTATGGATGTATTGATATATGGACACGTGGATTAATAAGATTTAGGGGGCCGAGCGCGGTAGCTAACACCTGTAATCCCAGCAGTTTGGGAGGCCGAGGCAGGTGGATCACCTGAAAGGTCAGGAGTTCGAGACCTGCCTTGCCAACATGGTAAACCCCATCTCTACCAATAAATGCAAAAATTAGCCAGGAGTGGTGTTACACACCTGTAGTTTCAGCTTCTCAGGAGACTGAGGTGGGAGAATTGCTTGAACTCAGGAGGCGGAGCTGAAGTGAGCCAAAATTGCACCAATGCACTCCAGCCTGGGTGACAGAATGAGACCCTGTCTTTAAAAAAAAAAAAAAGCCGGGGCCGGGCGCGGTGGCTCAAGCCTGTAATCCCAGCACTTTGGGAGGCCAAGGCGGGTGGATCATGAGGTCAAGAGATCGAGACCATCCTGGTCAACATGGTGAAACCCCGTCTCTACTAAAAATACAAAAAAATTAGCTGGGCATGGTGGCGCGTGCCTGTAATCCCAGCTACTCAGGAGGCTGAGGCAGGAGAATTGCCTGAACCCGGGAGGCGGAGGTTGCGGTGAGCCGAGATCGCGCCATTGCACTCCAGCCTGGGTAACAACAGCGAAACTCCGTCTCAAAAAAAAAAAAAAAAAAAGCCGGCGCGATGGCTCACGCCTGTAATCCCAGCACTTTGGGAGGCTGAGGCGGGTGGATCACAAGGTCAAGAGATGGAGACCATCCTGGTCAACATGGTGAAACCCCATCTCTACTAAAAATACAAAAATTGGCCGGGCGCGGTGGCTCAAGCCTGTAATCCCAGCACTTTGGGAGGCCGAGGCGGGTGGATCACGAGGTCGAGAGATCGAGACCATCCTGGTCAACATGGTGAAACCCCGTCTCTACTAAAAATACAAAAAATTAGCTGGGCATGGTGGCACGTGCCTGTAATCCCAGCTACTCTGGAGGCTGAGGCAGGAGAATTGCCTGAACCCGGGAGGCGGAGGTTGCGGTGAGCCGAGATCGCGCCATTGCACTCCAGCCTGGGTAACAAGAGCGAAACTCCGTCTCAAAAAAAAAAAACAAACAAAAAAACAAAAATTAGCTGGGCATGGTGGCACGTGCCTGTAATCCCAGCTACTCGGGAGGCTAAGGCAGGAGAATTGCCTGAACCCAGGAGGCGGAGGTTGTGGTGAGCCAAGATCGCACCACTGCACTCCAGCCTGGGTAACAAGAGCGAAACTCCGTCTCAAAAAAAAAAAAAAAAAAAAAAAAAAAAAAAAAAAAAAAAAATTGAAACGGAATCTAATGCCTCTAAAGAAAGTTTCCAATTTAACAAGAAGTGTGGAGGAAAGAGGAACAGAGACCTACAAGCAAATACAAAGGGAAGACTGTTTAACTGTTTTTTTTTTTTTTTGAGACGGAGTTTCGCTCTGGAGTGCAATGGCGCGATCTCGGCTCACCGCAACCTCCGCCTCCTGGGTTCAGGCGATTCTCCTGCCTCAGCCTCCTGAGTAGCTGGGATTACAGGCACGAGCCACCATGCCCAGCTAATTTTTTGTATTTTTAGTAGAGACGGGGTTTCACCATGTTGACCAGGATGGTCTCGATCTCTCGACCTCGTGATCCACCTGCCTCGGCCTCCCAAAGTGCTGGGATTACAGGCTTGAGCCACCGCGCCCGGCTTGTTTTTGTTTTTAAAAAGCCAGTTGGCTGAGTACAGTGGCTCATACCTGTAGTCTCAGGACTTTGGGAAGCTGACGTGGTCGGATCACTTGAGGACAGAAGTTAAAGACCAGACTGAACTTACAGGGGGAATCTTTGTCTTTTCTAAAAATACAAAAAAAAATATTAGCCGGGTATGGTGGCCCAGACCTGTAATCCCAGCTACTCAGGAGGCTGAGGCATGAGAATCATTTGAACTCAGGAGGCAGAGGTTGAAGTGAGGCAAGATTGCACCACTACACTCCAGCCTGCGTGACAAAGCAAGACTTTCAAAAAACAAAACCAAGCCAAAACAGCCCATTACAGAAATCTGAACATAGACTGGGCATCTTACGAAATTAAGGGGTTATTAATGGTGTTAGGTGTGATAATCACTTTGGTTACAGTTTTTTAACACTTTATATGTTAGAGATACATACTGCAATATTTACCAGCATAAAGATACAGTGTTTCAGATTTGCTGTGATACAATCTAGAAAGAAACAGAAGTGGCCAGGTCTGGTGGCTCACACCTGTAATCCCAGCACTTTGGGAGGCTGAGGCGGGTGGATCACAAAATCAGGAGTTCAAGACCAGCGTGGCCAAGGTGGTGAAACCCTGTCTCTACTAAAAATACAAAAATTAGCCAGGCATGGTGGCGGCCGCCTGTAATCTCAGCTACTTGGGAGGCTGAGGCAGAGAATTGCTTGAACCCGGGAGGCAGACATTGCAATGAGCCAAGATAACACCAGTGCACTCCAGCCTGAGCCACAGAAAAAAAGAAATCAGAAATGGAGGCCAGGCGCAGTGGCTCACGCTTGTAATCCCAGCACTTTGGGAGACCGAGGCAGGCGATCACGAGGTCAGGAGATTCAGACCATCCTGGCCAAAATGGTGAAACGCCGTGTCTAATAAAAATACAAAAAATAGCCAAGCATGGTGGTGCACACCTGTAGTCCCAGCTACTCGGGAGGCTGAGGCAGAATAATTGCTTGAACCTGGGAGGCGGAGGTTGCAGAGAGCCAAGATCACGCCACCACGCCCAGCTAGTTTTTGTAGTTTTAGTAGAGATGGGATTTCGCCATGTTGGCCATGCTGGTCTTGAACTCCTGACCGCAAGTGATCCACCTGCCTCATCTTCCCAAAGTGCTGGGATTACAGGCGGGAACCACCGCACCTGGCCTAAACTTTTCATAATTAAAAAAAAATTTTTTGATGTAATGCCCTTGAGGAAAAAACAATTTTTTTTTGGCCCTGCGTGGTGGCTCATGCTTGTAATCTCAGCACTTTGGGAAGCTGAGGCAGGTGAATCACCAGAGGTCCGGAGTTCAAGACCAACATGACCAACATGGAGAAACCCCATCTCTACTCAAAATAGAAAATTAGCCTTGGCTTGGTGGCTCATGCTTGTAATCTCAGCACTTTGGGAGGCCAAGGTGGGTGAATCACAAGATCAGGAGTTCAGGACCAGCCTGGCCAACACAGTGAAACTTCGTCTCTACTAAAAAAATATACAAATATAAAAATGAGCTGGGTGTGGTGGCAGGCACCTGTAATCCCAGCTACCTGGGAGGCTGAGGCAGGAGAATTGCCTGAACTGGGAGGTGGACGTTGCAGTGAGCCAAGATCATGCCACTGCACTCTAGCCTGGGCAACAAAGCCAGACTCTGTCTTGGAAAAAAAAAGTTAGCCAGGTGTGGTGGCACATGCCTATAATCCCAGCTAATCAGGAGGCTGAGGCAGGAGAATCATTTGAACCCACGAGGTGGAGGTTGTGGTGAACCAAGATCACACCATTGCACTCCAGCCTGGGCAACAAGAGTGAGACTCTATCTAAAAAAAAAAAAAAAAAACGTTGAGCTTGATGGCTCATGCCTGTAATCCCAGCACTTTGGGAGGCCAAGGTGGGTGAATCATGTGGTCAGGAGTTCGAGACCAGCCTGACCAACATGGTGAAACCCCATTACTACCAAAAATACAAATATTAGCTAGGTATGGTGGTGCATGCCCGTAATCCCAGCTGCTCAGGAGGCTGAGGCAGGAGAATCTCTTGAACCCGGGAGGTGGCAGTTGCAATAAGCTGAGATCATGCCACTGTACTCCAGCCTGGGTGACAGAGTGAGATCCCATCTCAAAAAAAAAAAAAAAAAAAAAAAAAACGAAAGAAAAGAAAAAGCAAGCTATGGAGAGGTCCCCGTCTAAATTCTGAATCAAGTGTCCAGAAAGCCCTATAAAGTGCTTGGGAGCATTCCTACTCCATCTCCCCTTGGGCCATGTCACAAATCTGGCCCAGCATCCCCATCATCTCCTGAGCACCCCACCTTCCTTGGATGCCTGTGAGCATCACTCACATCCAGTCGTGTCACCTCCTGACCAAAGCACAGCCATCAGGGACTGTGTGGGTGTCCAAGTTTCTGTCCACATGGCCCTGGTACGCATGGATGGATGCCCCTTCTCAAAAGTGAGAACGAAGGGTGCTGGGTAACCTACAGGGTCTTTTCACCTTGACAGCTCTTCCCTGACACTTACTCCAGTAGTCCTGTAGATTGGAGGGATCCTCAGAGGTGGGCTTACCCAGATCTAAGCAGCCGAGGAACCCCAGGACAAGTCCTATCACGTGGTACAGAGGCAGGACCGTGTAAACCACATCGTCAGCTGTGGCCCCACACAAGGACAGCATCTTGCTCATCTGCAGTACCCGCTCATGGGTGAGGATGGCTGGCTTCGGGAGGCCTTGGGGTGAAGGCACAGCAAGGGTAGGGTGGTGAGATGACAGCATGGAGAGGGGCCTGACCAGAGGCATGGATCTCCAACAGCCAGGCCTGCACTGGGGTTTGAGGCTCCCAGAGCAGTCAAGTGTTAAGTATTTGAGGCTGGGTTCACAGGCTGAATTTGAACTGAGAGCAGTATGTCAAGAACAAAGGTTTCAGTGGCTGTTTACTGGACACAGGAAGAATTCTGGCATTGACCGTTCAAATTACACTGGGGGTCAGAGTTCAGGCCAAATGTCAAAATCAAGGTTGGGCGTAGTGGCTCATTCCTGTAATCTCGGCATTTTTGGAGCTTGCGGCGGGTAGATCACCTGATGTCAGGAGTTTGAGACCAGCCTGGCCAACTTGGCGAACCTCTATCTCTACTAAAAATACAAAAATTACCCAGGCATGGTGACACATGCCTGTAATCCCAGCTACTCAGGAGGCTGAGGCAGAGAATTGCTTGAACCTGGAAGGCAGAGGTTGCGGTGAGCTGAGATCACGCCACTGCCCTCCAGCCCGGCCGACAGAGTGAGACTCCGTCTCAAACAAACAAACAAAACACAGGATAAAGTGGTTTCACAGGTCAACATGGAGGCACAAGTCAAGTGTGGGGTCAGGTCAGCCTGAGAGTTTAGAGGCTGGTGCTAGGGCTGTTGGGCACCCTCACCAGTGGTCCCTGAGGTGTAGATGAAGAGGGCAGGGCTTCGCCGTGTGATCCCGGCACGCAGGTCAGCAGGCACTGGGTGGGAGGGTGCTGCATCCAGGGCAGCTCCCAGAGTCCCCACCCCTGGTGTAGGGGAGGTATGGCCGAGGTAGAAGCAGCGGATGTTCTCGGCCTGCAGCTTGGGAAGGATCTCCTCCAGACTCTCCCAGAGGTCTGCAGGGATGGGTCAGAGGAGAGACAAAGGCAGGTGCTTACCTTAGAGGTCACGAGGCGGGATCTGAGACCCACAGACGTAGGCAGAGGAGCAGCTGGCAGAGAAAAACGTTCGTGTTGTTTGGTAAAGAATCCCATCGTTAGTTATTTTTGGTCAAAAAGGATTGAAATAGCATTGTGGGAAAATTAACCTCTGGTGACCTGTGAACTACTTTCTGCTTTTAAGTCTTGAGCTGCCTGTGAAAGTGGCTGGGTGGGGAGCAAGGGCCTCTGCCAGTCCCACCAGAACCCCTGTCCTATGGTCCCAGCCCTTGCCCCCTTCCATTCTCCACCGGCTCCAAGGCCCTCACCTGGGTCAACCACCAGCACCCGGGCCCCAGAGCTCAGCACAGAGTGCACCAGGGGTGTCCCCCGGCCATGTGGGTTGATCCAGGCTGTTGGGCAGCCCAGCTTAGCCAGCCCGAGCCACACACACAGGGCTGGAATGGCCTGGGAACCCAGCACCAGGAGGGCAGCAGGCTCCCTGGCACGAAGGCTCGCAGAGCCACCCAGCTCAGCCTTCAGGGCCCATGCGGCCCGGCAGGCCCGGGCTTCCAGCTCGCCTAGAGTGACTGCGCTGGCCCCAGGCCCGGTCCACACCAAGACCGCCTTGCCAGGCTGCGCTCGTGCTCGTCGCTCGAGGGCGTCTACAAAGGTGTAGGGTGGCTGTCGGCCTAAGCATGCCCTGACATTCAGGCCCAGCTGGAGGATCTTGGCCAAGAAGGCCACATCAGCCGGCAGCCAGCGTAGCCCCGGGGGCAGCCGTGCCGGCAGCAAGGTTAGTGCCAGGGCCGCAGCTGCCAGGCTCAGCCCATGGGACACCCAGGGGCTGAACCAGGGCCGTGCTAGCATGGCCAGGCCAAGGAGCACACAGCACGTGGGATCCCCCAGGAGCCAGCGCAGGGCCAAGGCCATAGCCACTGGCCACACTGGCTGCCCCAAGCCCCAGAGCAGCAGCAGCAGCAGCAGCAAGGCCAGTCGTCGCCTGACACCCATGGTACCAGCTCCTCCCTAGGAGCAGCAGCTGTCGAATGTTCAGGCTCACCCCTGGCTTCTCAGAGTAGCACAATGGCTCCTCCCCAGGGGTGGTGGCCCTGGCACTGCTGACAGTGGCTGCTCCTCTCCTAGGACTTTGCCCCCAGCCCTTCTCCTCGACATGTTTGTTTGCTCTGCATGGTCTTGTGTATGGCTCCAGCCCCTCTCTGCCTGCTTGCCAGCCTCATCAGCCTGAGGTGGGAGATAGGAGCAGAAAAACAAATTTTCCTTCTTAGGTAGAAGCCAACTTCCCTGAGACCTTACCCCTTCCCGTGGAACTGCTTTGCAAGTTTTATAAGTTTATAGATTCTTGTATTCTTATTCTCTATAGCTGATAACTAAGTTTCTGTTTTCCATATGAGCAACGCAGGTCAGTGTGTGTGACACGTCTAAGTAGGCCCCATAGCGCAGGATGCAAGAGAAGCCGTGCAACCGAGATAAAGGTCATCTGGGCCGCACAGCAAGTCACGGGTAAGCTTGAGTTATAAACCTGTCATTGTCTGATGAATTGCTTTGTTCTGCTCCTGCATTTTGTGTATAAAAGCCAAGCCCTATCTCTGTTCGACGCTCCCGTTTTGGGGATTTTTTTTTTTTTTTTTGGAGACAGAGTTTCACTCTTGCCCAGGCTGGAGGGCAATGGCGCGATCTTGGCTCACCACAAACTCTGCCTCATGGGTTCAAGTGGTTCTTCTGTCTCAGCCTCCTGGGTAGCTGGTGTTACAGGCATGTGCCACCACACCCTGGCTAATTTTTGTATTTTTAGTAGAGACGGGGTTTCTCCATGTTGGTCAGGCTGGTCTTGAACTCACAATCTCAGGCGGTCCACTCACCTCGGCCTCCCCAAATGCTGGGATTACAGGTGTGAGCATCCACTGAGCAGGTCTGCACCTTAATAAAATCCTCCTGTTCCACCCATTGGTCTCTCTAGGCTCCTGATTTCCACAACAAGCCCCCCACCTCCTTTGCCAGGTGTGACCCCTTTCCATCACTGGCCTCTGGGCTCCCAGGTCTCTGCCCCTTGGGCCCCACCATTAGCCTCCTTACTGCTGTTCTGCTTGCCCCATGCCCCCTCCAGGGCTGGCATCTGCCTCCCTTCCCTCCCCTCCTATCCCTTCTGCATACCACCTCCCATGGCACCCACTTAACCCTTGGGGAGAGGGACTCAGCCAGGCTTAGCCCCTTGTCCCATGATCCCAGGAACTGTAGGCTCCTGCCAGGCATACAGCAAGTGGTCAGTAAACAGAGGAACACTTGCATTGCCTGGATTCAAACCCAGCTCTGCCCCCGACCCATGTGCTGGCTCTGTGACTCTCTCTGCCCCACCTCTGGCTTTGATGAAGATGGAGTCCTGGGATTCAGGAGACTGAACTCTGCCCGTGATGCACAGTTGGATCGTCAAAGCCCTGGTCTCTCACGTCTAGGAGGCAGTCTCAGAAGGTCAACCCAGAGGAGCTGCCATTGGCCTAGGAGTCTGGCAGGTCAGGCTGGGGCATGGCCCTCCAGGCCGCAGCCCACTCCACCACCTCCAAATCCTTAGGGCTGGGGACCTGGGCTAGGAGCCACTAATGTGCTGAAGAAGGGTGGGGGCAAAGAGTGGCTGCTCTCTGCACTGGATGCAGGAGCCTGGGACACTGGCTGGCCACTAGCGGTGGTGTCTCCAACTGCCCTTGGGCTCACCGCAAGTAAGGTGCTCAGCCATGTCCATCAGAGTGGGGGAGGGGAAGCCCACCTCAGATGTGGCTTGCCTGTCTTCCTCCCCACAGGACCAAGGGCTTCAACAGAACCAGGTGCTGGTTATATATGCAGCCCACCGTATCCTCTACAGAATAGAGGTCTGAGATGGCAAAGTCATCCTGTCCCTGCCCAGGAGAGCCTGTGGGTGGCATCGATGCCGCCCAAGAACAGGGACACTAAGCCCTGACACCCACAGCTTGTCTATGAGGGCAAGGCGCGCACGGATCCAGGTGCTCACAGCTTCGTGGTTGAGGCCCCATGGCCTGCAGTCCTTTATTTGAGTGAGGGTCCCGAGGCCCAGCCCTCATATATGATGGGTCCACTCGATCCTCCTTAGGTGCCCCATGAGGGAGTGATAGCTTGGGTACGGAGCCAGGGACCTCACCCAGCCTAACAGTGGGGCAGGGGAGTGGACTCAGCCCCCGACCCCACCCCAGAAGAGGGCGGGGCGAGAACCGGGAGTCAAATTTTGGGGCGGGTCCAAGGGCCTGAGCGCCCGGTTTAGGCTGAAAATGATCTAGTTCTCAGAGGTGGTGTGGTACCTAACCAGTCCCAGTTCCAGCCTGGCACCACCTGGAAGGTTCAAGTACGTGGAGAGGAGTAAGGCAGACGTGGGCCCCGGTATGGAGAAAGGGGTGAAGGGAGAGAGACGATCTGGGTTCACAAGGGAGCGTGGCCTAGCGGCGGGAACCACGCGTCCCGCAGCGGGCGTGGACGATTGTGCGGGAGGCCGCGGACCCACCGTGGGCGAGGCCAGGCCCAGCCCCATCAAGGCGCAGGGTGTGCGGCCAGGTGGCGCTCCAGCAGCGCGCGGTGCGAGAAGACCTTGCCGCAGGCGGGGCAGGGTGCGCGCTCCGGCCGGTGAGTGCGCATGTGCACGTTGAGCGAGCTCTTCTGCGTGAAGCGTTTGGCGCAGACGGCGCACTGGAAGGCGCGCACGCCGGTGTGCGTGACCATGTGCTTGAGCAGGTAATCCCGCAGCGAGAACGATCGCCAGCACACGGCGCACTGGTGCGGCTTCTCCCCTGAGGACGACAGGGCGGGCCGCGAACGCAAGTCAGACTCCACAGCTCCCCTCCCAACCCCACCTCACCCCCACCCTGGGCGCCTGGACCTGGCAGGGGCTCCGCTCCACTCCCCAACCACCACCCCGGCACCCTTTCTGTCAGGGAACCCTCCCCTCACTATGGGATCTTCCTGCCCAGCAGGGACACCCCCTCCTCTCCAGGACCTCCCTTCACGGTCGGGCTTTCCCACCCTTTCCCGGCAGAGACCCCCTTTCTGTCATCCTGGGACACTACTGACAGGGCTCCCCTAAATCCAGCAAGTACCCTGCCAGCAGGGAACCCAGCCTGTCTGGAACAGTTGCCCATCTGGACTGCCCGCTGGGACCTCCTCTACCCTCAGGGACCCTCCCCCTCAGCCCCTACCCATCTGGCAGAGGGAGCCACTCGGCCTGGCCCCCCTCACCCATGCCCATAGAGCCTTCTAAACTCAGTCTGACAAGGCCAGTGCCCCTTCATAAGGAGGGACCTGGGCACATCTGCCACCTTCCTCGGGGAAGCCCCCATTGCCCAGAACCCCTGCCCGCTAGTCACTATAATGTCCTTGGTGTGGTAGAGCTCCTCATTCTGGGTTAGGGGAGGGGACGCAACTTGGGTCTGCCCCTAGATTCATCAGGTGTTAACAAAATGCCTATGTCAATTAGGCATGATGGCTCTCACCTGTAATCCCAGCACTTTCCGAGGCTGAGGCGGGCAATCGCTTGAGGCCAGGAGTTTCACAGCAGACTGGCCAACATGGCGAAACCCCATCTCTACTAAAAATACAACAATGAGCTGGGTGTGGTGGTGCACGCCTGTAATCCCAGCTACTCGGGAAGCTGAGGCACGAGAATCACTTGAACCCGGGAGGCAGAGGTTGCAGTGAGCCGAGATCGCACCACTGTACTCCAGCCTGGGCAACAGAGCAAGCCTTGGTCTCTCAAAACAAAAAATGCCTCTCTCAGTGGCAGAGGACTTAAAGACAGTGCCTGCCAGGGGGTCCTCCGGACTAACCAGGCCCAGGCATCTGGCTTAGATCACACATCACCCCACTCCCTTAGTCCCAGGCCCCTGGCTTCTCCCAATCGTCCCCAGGGCAGCCAGAGGTGACTTTAAACTGACATCTCAGTCACCTCCCAGGTTAGACCACCATGGCTTCCCCACCGCTCACAGTAAATCCCAAGTTCCAGCCCCTGAAGAAACCCTCCTCACTCCCACTGTGGTCTTCCAGCCAGATTTTTGCTTTTTCTGACAATGCGCAGCAGGCTTCTGCTTTCCATCCCCTTGTCCTCCATCTCGGCCCCCAGGGAGCACCGCTTCCACACCCCGCAGTACCATCCTCACACTCCGACAGCCCTGCAGAGCAGCCTCCCTGACACAGCCAAGGTCTGAGGGACCCTCCCCGAAGCTTTCGGGGGCTGTTCACTGCAGTTGAGGGGTCCCCACACTGCAGCCATGTTTTCCTTCTCCTGCCCCAATCTCAGGAGTTCCTGGGACCTTCATTCCGCCACCTCTCTAAGGGCTTTCTACCATGGCCCAGTAAATCCACCCTCCCTTTCTGCCAGCTCATAACGGGACTGCTGGCAACCAGAGAGACACAGGAGGCTCCTTGGAAGCATAGTTTCCCAGCCTGGCCAGGACCCCCTGTGAGGCTCCATCCTCATCACGTGCATCCTAGACTGCTAAAGGCTCCACCACCGCCCTTCCAGATGCTAGGGTAGGCTCCTGCTTCCCAACCCAGCCTCAGGATCCCCCTCCACAGAGGCCACTGCCCACTGTGGCAACATAGCGGGGCTTTCCCCTCCCTCACATGGCTTGCACTTGGGGGAAGGCTCAATTTCCAGGTCCCCTGCTACCTAAAAGTAACAGAACAGTGCCAATACCCTGTACCTAGTGCTCAGTTCCCCCTCAGGTTTAACTCCAGTGAGAGATTGATTGCTCCCTCTCCTCTCCCGCCCTGGCTCACCCGAGTGGATGAACATGTGCTTGGTGTAGTTTTTCCGGGAGCTGAACGTCTTTCGACAGTGGCTGCACTCATAGGCAGGTGGCTCGGCACCTGGGGTGCGAACAGGGGTGCCTGAGGGGGCCGTGATGGGAGCAGCAGAGGGAGCTGGGGCCTCCCCCAGCTGAGTGCTGGGTGCTGCCTCCGGCTGGAGCGTGGAGTAGAAGGTGGGTGGGGGCGCAGGGGCTGGCCCCGATGGCGCTGAAGGGGGTGGTGCCGGTGGCCCAGGAGCACCCAAGTGAAAGGGAAAGAGTGCGACGGGTGGCCCTGGGGTCTTCACGCCAGGTGGGCGGGGTCCAGCCAGTATGCAGTCGGGCTGGACAGGGGTCTCGGTTGGACAGCCTTCAGGGACAGCACCATCCTCTTCATGCCAAGTGGATACATAGCTGTCTGGAAATACATCTTCAGCTGCCCCAGCTCCCCGGAGAAAATCCCTCCCCGCACCACTGTAGTCAGCGAGGCCAGTGGGTGCAGGGGGCTCCTCACACGCGCTGTCAGCAGCAGCAGTGAGGAAGCTGGCAGCACAGTCTGGGAAGGAAGGAGGTGCCTGGCACTCACCCGGGCCGCCACCTTCGCCGTCCTCGCCATCGGTCTCATCGTCAGTTTCCTCGTCATCGTCATCACCTCGGTCGTCAGGGGCCGCGGACAGTGAGGTGTCGGCATCAGGCCCTTCGGCCTTGGCAGGTGTCGGGGGAGCAGGCAGCTGCAAACGCGCCGGCTGGCGCTGCTTACGGCTGTGCGCGGCACCGGGATGCCCTGGGGGGCGCGCGGCCAGCAGGTGGCGCAGGCGGTGACGAAGCTGCGCAGGTGCGAGTGGCGGGGGCACAGGGGTGGGCAGGGGCGCGGGTGCAGAGGTGCCCGGGGCTCGAGCGCGTGCGATAATTTGCGTGCATTCGTCGATCACTGTCTGTATGCGAAGCACCGACGCAGCCGTGAGCACCTGCAGGGCTTCGCCCTGTGCCACAACAAGCGAACCGCTGTACAAGAACTCGACTAGCTGTCGCACCGTCTGCGCCGGCACCACCGGAGGCACACGGATCTCTGAGTGGCCCAGCAGCAGCTTGTCTTGGAAGAAGGGCGATCCCGCTGCCAGCACGCAGCGGTGGGCACGCAGTGAAGCTTCACGAATGCGCACAGTCACATCGCAGAAGTGCCCACCCAGCCTCTGCCCATTGAGGGTCTCAAGCAGAGAGCGTGAGAAGTTCTGCAGGTGTATGTGGTGCACAGCCTCTGCAGCCGCCATCTGCACAAAATAAGAGGGGGGCAGGGAGAGGTCAACTGAGGACCCTCCTCTGTCCCAAAGCCCCTTTCCCCTCCCTCCTTGTTGCAGGACAGGACTCAAGAGGGCACCACACTCCCAGGCCTCCCCAACCCATCCTTCCCCAGCTGCCTTTCGCTGCTCCCATTCTCAACACAGGACACTCCAGCACTCCCCACTCCCCCCAGCTCAGCCCTGGCTAGACCCTCAACAGTCTCCCACCACGGCAGCAAAGCCTAGCACACCCCTAGGAGAAGGTACTGGGGACATGAGAGGTCTCCCCTTTCCCGGCCTCGCTCACTGCCCCCAAAAACGTTCACGACTTGGCCTACCCTATCTTGACTTATTCCCCCACCCCACCCCAATTCCAATAACCCTAAGCCTCCCCGTGTGCTCTTCCAAGAGGGCAGCCCTGTGTGTAGAAGAGGCCAGGGACCCCCATCCCAACTGGCTAATCTGCCTCACCCAGAGTAGACCTTGCTCTCTACCCAGCTAGCTTCCCCTCCTCCTCCACCCGTGCTGGCAGCTCCATTTGTATTCCTTTAGCCACATCCCCCAACATGACACCCTGTGCACAGGCAGGACTGCTGCCTCAGGAGGTAACCTTAACTAGTGTATAGAGGCTTAGAGGCTTTTGCAGGAGTGGGATGGCACGACCTGCTTCCTGGACAGCGTGGTTCTGGATATGGGCTGAGGGTAAACGGTTGGACATTACCTTGGCAGATGTCCCAGGGAAACCAGTACATGGTCCCTGGCAGACCCTAGCATAGGAGGCAGGGAGGTGCCTCCCACAGCCCCAGCTTTCTTGCCATCTCGATGGAGCCTGTGGGGCCCAGAGTGTGGGTGTGGCACAGAGAGAGGAAGGGTGGAATGAGCAGGGTGTGTGACTGGAAAGGTAATGGAGCAAGCGGGGACACGGCCCCCCATCAGGCGCCAGAAAGGGGCGGGAGTAGTCCTCAGAGGCCGCTGGAATCTGAAGAGCTCTGCTACTCCTTCCATCAAGCAGGTAAACCCGTGGTCCTTCGACCTGTTTCCCCGTCTATCAAACAAGGGATGAGATTTTCGGCTCATCCCGCACCCAGCTTGCTCTCACCTCCAGTCTAAGGGAGAAGAGTAGGAGCTCTGGACTGTGACGTCCGTATGGGATCCACCAGCCTGTCTCTCCCTTGGGGTCACAAAGCCCCAGAGTGGGCTCGGCTTGATGCTGCCCCTACACCCTCGGGCTCTACGGGGGTGTCAACATTCAACCCCTCTGCCTCCTTATGCCCAATCCGCCGTCCCTCTGCTCGGCCAGACGCCTCCCTTTCTTGTATGCCCCACATCTGACCCTTGGACCCCTTCGAGCACCTCCACCGCCCGCTTCCCGCTGTCCCGGACCGAGGAGGAAACCCGGCTGGTCCCGCCCTGTTCCCCACGCGGCCGCCAGAGGGCGCCCTTCCGGGCTGCAGCTCCCCGCCCGGGCCCGCTCGGAGCCCTCCGCACCATGCCTGCAAAGCGCCGGGCCTGTGCCCCGGCGAAGGCGAGCTCGGCAGGCAGCGCCGCCCCGTCTGCGTCCACCCGGCCCCTGGACGGCTTCCAGTCCGTGTCCGGGCGATGGGGACGGAAACGTGCGCGGCAACGCGCGGGCCGGGACCCTCCTCCCCCTCCCCGCCCCGCCCCGCCCCGCCCCTGGCGGGCCGCCGCCTCGGTCCCGGCCCTGCGAGGCCCGCCCGGACCCCGCAGAACAAAGGCCCGCCCTGGGGACGCGTCCGCCGCGCCGCGTGCTTTCCTCCGAGCGCGCGCTCCCACGCTCCGTGCGACTGCCCGCGCCGCGCCTAGGCCCGAAGCGCCCCTGGGACCCCGCGGCCGCCCCCCACCCGCGATCGCGCCGTACCCCGGTCCCGCAGCGCCCCCTCGCGTTCGCAGCGTGCGCGCCGGACGGAGCGCAGGTGCCTCTCCCCGGGCAGCCCTGTGGCGGGGGGATGCCCGTCCGACGCCCCTTCAGGCACCAGGCCCGGCCGTGGCCACCGACTCCGAGGCCGCACTTCCGGGCCGCGACGCCGACGGAACCGAAGCCCGCGGCCGCGGCGGCGCTGGGGAAACCCTAGGCCGAAGCACATTTCCGGTATGTTTATGGCGATCGGCTCCCGCCGGTCCGCACTCCGGCTCTCCTCTGAGTCGGAACCAAAGTCAAAGAGGCTGGGGCTGCCGCGACGCGAGGAATCTCTGGACCGGAGCGCTCTTCCGGCGTCGCCCAGGAGATCCTGCGTGCGGCGGGGCCTGCGCGGTCACTCCGCGGACGCCCTGCGACGGAGGACCGGAAGGCCGTTCGCGGCGCGAGTCGCCGACCTCTTCCGGCCAGTTTCAACCCCGCTGCGAACCGGGGACGTGGCCTTGTTCCCGTGACACGGGTGAGAGCTGAGTTTAGGTCTCGCTCCCTGGCCGTCAGGAGGCGCAGACGAGCTACCCCTACCACAGCCCCTCCTGGCCAGCCCGCCGAGGGTGGGATCGGGGAGCAGACCCCCACCCCGGCCTTGGCACCTTGTGCTACCACGCACACGGGAGCAGACAGCTGCTTCACCCTGCTCTGTGTCTCCCTTGAGCTAGGCCCTGTGACATTCTGGGACATTGCAAGTTAATCTGGTATGGGGGACAGAATTCCGACAATGGCCCCCTCCAAGATTCCGTGCCCAAATCCCCAGAACCTGTAAATAGGATCATCTCACCTATGAATAGTTACGCTACATGGTGAAAGGGTTTTTGCAGACAAGTCTAATCATTAAGGTTAATCATTAGCTGGTCTTAAAACAGGAAGTAGGAGAAGGGTTCCAGAGGCTTTCAAAGTAGAGAGGTCCATGAGAGGGAACGCAACAGGACGGGTGTCGTCCTGGGAATCTGAGAAGAGCTGCAACAGCCAGCAAGAAAACAGACCTCAGTCCTAGAAGTGCATGGAACTAGATTCTGCCCACAACCGGAATAAGCTTGGAAGCAAGTTATTCCCCAGAGCCTCCAGGTAGCGGCTTAGTCCATCGCACACCTCGATTTCAGCCTTTATGAGACCCGCAGAAGACCTGCCTGGGCTTCTGACCTGTAGAATGGTGAGCTGATAGTTGGATATTGTTTTAATCTTTGGAGTTTCTGGTAGTTTGTTACAGTAACGATATAAAACAAATACATCTGCTGAGACCCAGGGCCTCCACAGAGTCCAGTAAATGCCGCTATTTGTTTCCCATCTGATGAACGCATTCCTCACATTTCCCACTTGCTGAAAGCTTCATTTCTGTGCCTTCCCAGCCTTTTTCAGGCCACTTCGTGATCTCATTCCTCAGGGAGCAGGAGCAGTTCTCACTTCCCGCACCTCAGAGGACAGAGGGGTCTCAGGAGTGAAAGAACCAACTGTCCAAATGCATGACTAGAACAAAGACTCCAGAAGAGAGACCAGGTCAGGATGCCTGTCCCCCACCCAGTGCAACTACTGAGTTGCTGTGTTATAGATGTGGTATTTGGAGGTCAGGGGGACGAAAATATGTGCCAGGTGGGAAACCTCATTAAAATACAAGTCTGATAGCCAGCCATCATTGTCTTTGTTCAGACTCACACCATGGCCTTCTGGGCCCCCTAAGTCAGCTTTCACTGGGCTGAGTTTTGAGAAGAGCATAGGGTAGTTGGGAAGGTGTACATGAGGGCTTTGAGGAGGGAGGGTGGCCCCGCCTTGGGCAAGACAGATGAGTGAACCTTGGGCTGAGTAGCAGGACTGCAGTGTGTTGAGGGAGGGAAAGCTATGTCCCATTAGCATGTTTAAGGGGCTGTAGGGAAGACAGTGCACCTAGTGGGGTGGCAAATGCAGGAGTCCCAGTAGGAAACAGTAGCTGCTCTGACAGCAGGGAAGAGCAGAAGGGAACAGATTCAGGGTAGGAAAGAGACGACACTGGTGGCTTTATTTTTTATTTATTTGTTTTTTCGAGACAGAGTCTCCTCTCTGTGGTCCAGGCTGGAGTGCAGTGGTGTGATCTCTGCTCACTGCAACCTCCACCTCCCAGGTTCACGTGATACTCCTGCCTCAGCCTCCCAAGTAGCTGGGATTACAGGCACACACCGCCACGCCTGGCTGATTTTTGTATTTTTAGTAGAGATGGGTTTTCACCATGTGGGTCAGAATGATCTCGAATTCCTGAGCTCGTGATCTGCCCACGTCAGCCTCCTCCCAAAGTGTTAGGATTACAGGCGTGAGCCATTACGCCTGGCCATGGGTGGCTTTAGAGGAAGTCTCAGCCCCAAGGGATGAGGCCTGGAGGATTAGGGCAAGATAGAGGTGAAGACCTGGCCCAAGAAGCTTGGAAGGACATAGGAAAAAGAAACCCAGACCCTGACCTCTGTCAGGCAGCCAAGGGAGGTGAGAGCCTCAAGTTATTTTGCTTTTCTCTTTTAAGATCATACTATATCTGGCATTTCTCCCCATGTTATCCCTCCCCAGCCCCACTGTCTCTCCCCTACCCCACCAACTGCCCCCAGTGTGTGATGCTACTCTCCCTGAGTCCACATGCTCTCATTGTTCAACACCCACCTATGAGTGAGAACATGCGGTGTTTGGCTTTCTGTTCTTGTGTCAGTTTGCTGAGAATGATGGTTTCCAGATTGATCCAAGTTCCTACAAAGGACACGAACTCATCGTTTTTTATGGCTACATAGTATTCCATGGTGTATATGTGTCACATTTTCTTTTCCAGTCTTTCATTGACAGGCATTTGGGTTGTTCTCTCTAAAGATCTTATCACAAGGCTGGGTGTCATGGCTTATGCCTGTAATCTCATAATCTCAGCCCTTTGAGAGGCTGAGGCAGGCAGATCTGAGGCCAGGAGTTTGAGACCAGCCTGGCCAACATGGTGAAATCCCATCTCTATTAAAAATAAGGCCGGGCGCGGTGGCTCAAGCCTGTAATCCCAGCGCTTTGGGAGGCCGAGGCGGGTGGATCACGAGGTCAAGAGATCGAGACCATCCTGGTCAACAAGGTGAAACCCTGTCTCTACTAAAAATACAAAAAAATTAGCTGGGCATGGTGGCGCGTGCCTGTAATCCCAGCTACTCAGGAGGCTGAGGCAGGAGAATTGCCTGAACCCAGGAGGCGGAGGTTGCGGTGAGCTGAGATCGTGCCATTGCACTCCAGCCTGGGTAACAAGAGCAAAACTCCGTCTAAAAAAAAAAAAAAGAAGAAAGAAAGAAAAGTTGGGCAGGTGTGGTGGCTCACACCTGTAATCCCAAGTTTGGGAGGCCAAGGCGGGTGATCACCTGAGTTTGAGACCAGCCTGGCCAACATGGTGAAACCTCGTGTCTACTAAAATTACAAAAATTAGCTGGGTATGGTGGTGGGCACCTGTAATCCCAGCTGCTTGGGGGGCTGAGGCAGGAGAATCGCTTCAACCCAGGAGGCAGAGGTTGCAGTGAGCCGAAATTGCACCATTGTACTCCAGCCTGGGCAACAAGACCAAAACTCCATCTTAAAAGATAAATAAATACAAAAATTAGCCAGGTGTAGTGGTGGGTGCCTGTAGTCCCAGCTACTTGGGAGGCTGAGGCAGGAGGATCCCTTGAACCCAGGAGGCAGAGGTTGAAGTGAGCCAAGATCATGCCACTGCACTCCAGCCTGGGAGACTCCATCTCAAAAAATATATATCTGTGTGTGTGTGTGTGTGTGTGTGTGTGTGTGTGTATGTGTTGTGTGTATATATATATATATATATATATATACCCAAAGACTTTATCACTGGTTGTGGGGGCATTTTTTTAAGGAATAAACCTGTACCTGAGAACACAGGTTTAACAAGCTAGGGAGGGGAAAAATGTGGCCTGCAAATATTAAAACCTCCCGGCTAAGCCTAAGGCCTGAGATGGGAAATGGCTGGCCATTGAGGGAAGACTGTGTGAGAGCACAGTGACCACAGATGTGAAGGGAGCAGAAGAAACTGAGCTCCAGGGTGACTGGGACTCCTCAGCTGGCTAAGGCAGGGCCACTCTGACAGCATGGGTCAGAGAACAGACAGCTTCCACCAAGGAGTCTTCTAGGACCTCAGCTGTGCCTGATTCCATCTCAGTCAAGGTCCCAACCTCCCTCCCTTCTCCATCCCTTCTAGGCCAGCTTTTTGTCCAGGCTTCACCTCTGTGGCAGTCACACTCAAGTCCCTGTCTCCACAAACCCGGCCACATCCTAGTTGGTTTGGATTGTGCCAGGTGTGGAATACAGGTTCCATGATCCATGCCCAGTGTTTGGGGAGGCATTTCAAATACTAAATGAGTATACCCAGGAGCAGGCACTAGGCATACAGCTGCAGAAATCCTTCCTGGTACAAGGCAGATAGGAGTAAAGGCTAAGGAGTGGTCCCTAGAAGGGCAAATAGCAGCAGTTAGCATGTTAAAACACGCTGGGCACGGTGGCTCAAGCCTGTAATCCTAGCACTTTGGGAGGCTGAGGCAGGCGGATCACAAGGTCAAGAGATCGAGACCATCCTGGCTAACATGGTGAAACCCCGTCTCTACTAAAAATACAAAAATTAGCTGGGCGTGGTGGCGTGCGCCTGTAGTCCCAGCTACTCGGGAGGCTGAGGCATGAGAATTGCTTGAACCCGGGAGGTGGAGGTTGCAGTGAGCCAAGATTGTGCCACTGTACTCCAGCCTGGTGCCTGGCGACAGAGTGAGACTCTGTCTCAAAAAAAAAAAAAAAAAAAAAAAAAAAAAAGATGTTAAAACACTTGCTCTGAATAAGAGACCTCCTAAACAGGCTTTGTGTAAGCAACAAGGCTGTTTATTCACCAAGGTGTGAGTGGGCTGAGGTCCAAAAAGAGAGTCAGCTCGGGGGCGTGGGGTAGGAGTTGATATTAGAGGTTTGGGGTAGGCAGTGGAAAGTTACAGAAGTTACAGTTCAGGGCTGTTTTTGCAAGCTGGGAGGGGTTCATGGGGTCTGCAGTCAGGAGGTTGACCAAGGTCATTAGTAAGCACAGTTGACTTATCAGTTGGGATGGGAATAAGGAACGAGAGAAGAATGTCTCAAAGTTAACTGGGTGCCACAGGGGTTGGTCATTCTTCCCTTTTGTGGTTTTCCAGTTACTTCAGACTTTATATTTCCAGGAACTCATCTGGAGGTGTATGTGCAGGTCACAGAGGTTACCATGCAGTCCATAGTGCCATCAGTCAGCCTAAAAGAATTTACAGAGGACTCGAGCCCTTCTGATGGGACAGAGAAGACATGGGGACCGTGTGAGGCGGGGAAGGGGCAGTGGCAGGATCCCCTGTATGCTCCAGAAAGGCCTCTGAGGCTGCAGCTTAGGGAGGGGCTGGAGGGAGGCCCAGCCCCAGGATCCAGTGGAGTTAGGGAGGTGGTAGAAGCAATGGGTGGTGCCTTTGGGATTTATCAGAAAAGTAACAGCATCCAGACAGGTATTGAGGGCTCTCAACAAAGGCAGGTGGGGGTAGAAGAGAAAAGACTTAATGTGCTTTCATATGTAAAATACAAGGAAGAATATACTAGGAGCCCTGTGGACAACTCAGGAAGGAGACCTAAACTGAAACAATAATCAAGACACAACAACCACTGTTGCTTTTCCAGGGTCCCAGCACTTTGACCTGTACTGTGCACTTAGATTAATTTTGAAGAGTTTAAAAAACCCAAAAGGGGCCGGGCGCGGTAGCTCACGCCTGTAATCCCAGCACTTTGGGAGGCCGAGGCGGGTGGATCATGAGGTCAACAGATTGAGACCATCCTGGTCAACGTGGTGAAACCCCGTCTCTACTAAAAATACAAAAAATT